TCTGGGCTGTCTGCTGCCCGCGTGCTCCGCTGCTTTGCTTCCTCTCCCTGGTCTGCTGGAGACCAGGGAGACGGGCCCCGTCCGTAACTGCGGATCCGACATAAGTCGGATCCGCGTAACTTGGGGACTGCCTGTACTCTAAGTGAAGGTAATGGGAGTTGAAGATCCTGAAAGGGCGTCTGAGCTTATAAATGTGAAGTTCTACTTTTCTGAAGGGAAATACCCTAAAATATCTTCTAGCGGCCCAAATGGCTCACTCAGAGTCACATTGAGATTAAGTAAACTATTCAGAAGAGATTGAACAGGACAGGAATTTGGGTGGTAAGGATACAGGGTATCGTAATAATTTAAGGAAAATTCTCTCCCTTGAAATAAGGTTGTTATTAGTGTATCCAAATTCTCTGTGGGAGAATGTAATTCATGGGTCAAGATTAAGAGCCCCTTCTGCAGCTCTTATTGATAGACCAAATCAGGTGAGCAACAGTTACTGGAATCTAGAACAAGAAATTATTTTACTTTCCCAAATCTGTTTTCCTATATAGTTTTAGTTGTATCCATAAAGCAAGCGTCTAGCTATAGAGGTACTAACCATTTTCCCAATCATCATGACATAGGGTCCCAAATATTTGTTCACACCAAAGATATCCAGTACTCTAATGTACCAGAAAATGATATCCACACAGTAGATTACTCTTCCATAGCCCATGTAAGGCTGGTTCTGTAGACGAAGAATTGCTCCAATTATAAATACTAAAATAGCCACCATATCGGTGATATTCCAGTATTCCTGCAGCCAGACTTTCACTTTCTGGCTCAGCTTGCCAGGCTCTGACATCAGAATCTGAAAGCAAAGGGAAAGAAATCCTGAAGAAAATCTGTGGAGTTCATTTTTAAAATAATGGTGGTGCTACAGAGGGCAGTCTGATCGGATATAATGGGTTTCATCAATATTTCTTACATGACGAGCAGGATTTGTCCCTGCAGCAGCACACATTGCTGCTTACAGACGTCATTTAATTTTTTTTTAATTTTGACCCAACTTTTGTTTAATTGTGGAATTTCATAATTTTCACTTAATGTACCAGGTGTGACCCATTAACTTTTTGTCCACACATAAGTCCAAATCAAAATTCTACTAGGTGTTTATTTTTGGAACATGGTAGGTTGAAGGGGAATCAGACTGGGAGGGAACTACAGTGGGGTGAGTTGATTTGGCAGTGGGGTTTTTGTGTCATGCTACTAATCTGTCAGAGCGAAGATGATATGGAATTAAATACTACCACTTATTTACATATAAATGTCTTTCTCCCACCCATACTCTTCATTATTCACAGTAACTGATGAATGGAACATATACTAATTGTACATAATAGGAGACTGTTTTTGGGTTGTATCCTCATGCCCCCCCCAGGGAAATACATGTAAGAAGAAATGGGCAGGGAATTCAGGAAACTGTAAAACTGATCTAATGGAATTTTTTATTGCTATTTTTGCTCAGGCAGAAGAGGTTCTGAGAGCCTTGGAGTGGGCAATAGTTGAAGTCCCCTGTCAAAGATATGGATTTGAGGAGGTGCAGGGAAGGGAATTTCCTGCCTTATGCAAGGTTTGCCACCTGTCTACACTATTTCTTTAGTCTCCCTTTACCATTTGCTTACAAATGGCAAATTCTTCCCCGTGATTCTGTAAAATAGCCGTTGTTGGTGTGATTGGCATTACCTCTCTTACTTTCTCTAATGCCAGAGTCACAATATAGGAGATGACAATCCATTCCTGGAGGGAGGGCCAGCGGTCCATCCGTACCAAGATTATATAATTGAATAACATTAAGTAAGCCAAGTATGAGATCTAGAAAAAAAAACAAAAACCTTTTATGTGCATGGACTCTAGGCATTAGCGTGCAGGACTCTTACACGGTAGCCTTTTTGTACAAGGCAACACAAACAGCATTTAGTTCAGGGATGGGCAACCTTTTTTGGGCTGGGGGCTGCTGACCCACAGAAAAAAAAAATCAGTCCGGGGCCACAAAAAAATGAACCAACCAAATAAAAAAAAACCCAAACCAAAACCCGCTCCCTGACGTGGCCCCGACTGAGAAGGAGAAAGACACTCTCCATGTTCCCCTCACACACCAGAGCCTAGGGGGTACTGTTTATTGTTCTCTTTGTTTTAAGACGATAGAGGAATGTGCCTGTGAACAAACCTGTCTGGGAGTTGCCACCCGTCATTTCTATGGACCTGAAATCAGGATTTAATCTATTTACTGCAAAATGACACTTGAGCCATAACACCTGTTTAATAGCATACATGTAAACCTGAGCCGTGGGCAGAGATTTATGTAATCTTTTAGATTATTGGCTTACTGTGCTCATTACATCTTGCTGTTAGAACCTATCCAGGAGCTCCGGAACTCCCACCCTATAGTATTCCATTGTTTGGCAGTCTCACTGAGCCTAACAGTAAAGTGACCCTCCGCCAGCGCTGTGTGTAATAAACCCTCATACTTGACTCTACACGGTGTCGAACTTCTGTTTTCATGGGGGAAATAATGGCCACCGGCATCCCAAGTTGGAAATCCAGAATGAGTGGAAACTTTTGAACTTTTTGGTATTAAAAAAAAAATAGATACAATAAAGGAGCATAGAACATGGAAAAAAATTTTAAAAGATTTTATCAGTATCTCTTTAAGTTTTAATGGGATTTGGAACATCTGTAATGAAAATTGTGTTATATGGTCAGGTGTGATGATGCTAGGAGCAGTGTAAATTCATAAGGGAAACAGATACTAAGGCCAACGTTTATTTTGTTTATGCCTGTTCTTTTAATTGTATATCAAGATGCTTTCCCATTATTTTGTTTTAAATTAATATAATGTAATAAATTGTTAACAATCAGAAGTTATGAAGACATACCGTATAAAACCAGAACTTTACAATAGGTGCATTATAAAATTCATAAATCTTTTTTCCAATTGGAAGGCTCCGTTGCTTTTTGTTTCCATTCTCTTCATCTCCTTTTCGGGAGCCTGTATCAGCATTTGCATCCTGTAAGGAGGAAATGGGCAGCTTTCACCAATATAATGTCACCTATGGGAGAGTCTTTCACTTGTGATGCTCAATCATTTGCCGGCTACAGAATGCTTCTTTCTAAGCAAAACGACTTCACTCTTCCGTTACCCAGTTCCACTGCTCTTTGAAAAAAACAAGGTCAAGTAAATTGGCATACCTCTACTGACCCCAGTACTGCTACATCAATTTAAAATAGCTGGCAATCTGGCCCACAAACTCTTAATACTCTTAGAAACAGGGATTTTTGTTTCTACATTGGCTGGTGGCCTGGCAATTTTGCAGATTTCAATTTGAAGTGGCCAATGGCATAACTGTAGAAAATTCTGAACCTTTTCATAAAGCATAGTACCAACCACATTTTCCTCTTCTTTTTCTTTGCCATCTTCATTTTCTCTTGATGTCTGATAGGAAAAATCATCAGATGTGCGAAACTCTAGGAACAGGATGGTGGGTGGTAAGAGAATCCCCATTATAACCTGTACAAGAAGAGATATGTCAGTTCAATGCATCATTGACCATTAGATTTGTTTAAACAAAATTATTTCTTTTGTTGCAGTCATCTCTCACGAATATTCAACATGTAGGAAGCTACTGAAGTAATTAGCATTTACAAAGCACCAGCATTACACATGGCACTATAGAGAGATTTACGCTATAATATGGAGCTTTCATGTCTGTAAATACATAACAATAAAACACCTCAGAAGGTAAAAAGTGTTGCAGAACAGAGTTTAACAGCTAAATTCAGTGGAACAATAAGCAGCAGGAGAATGAAGGGAGCAAGTTAACAGTGACATTCAGATGAGAAACAGATGGGATAGCTTTTGAAGCCTGAGAGATGGAAAGGAAGAAGGCATGTAAAAAGAGCTGGAACAGAAGATAAAAGAAGTGAGGAGAGGGAATGACAATAGATGGTTTGGGGGTTGTACAGGTAAGGGGGATAGAACTGGAAGGTTGGGGAAGGTTGAATTTTGCAACGAAGAGGAAGGGAAGTCAGTGAACAGATTTAAGACTGGAGAGATGTGATCTGAAAGACAGGAAAGGCTCTCTGGATCAATGGATCTGAGTCAAGGTTTTGACTAATTTAAGTAGGAAAGTGGAAAGTCAGAGAGTTAAAGATGAGATAGGAACAGAGAATGGACCAGGATATTGGCAGGAGAAGAAAGAAAACAGATGGATTTGGTAGATGTTATGTTGAGAAGCATCAACCCGATTTGGGGATGATTTGGAGATGAGAATATGAGAGATGGATTAGAGATGACACCAAGGTGGCAGGCCCACATGTGGAAGGCAGTTATGACACAATATGATAAGAGAAGGATTTCACCTAATCATAGCCCAAAAAATCAGACATTTTCCTCCTCACTAGCAACTGCAAAACATTCCAAACAGTAATGGATTTGAATGTAGTCATCCTTTTACAAAAGAATTTCAAAACCCAATTACAAGGAGAGAGAGCTGAACTGGAATTCATTTGCAAATTCAACACTATCAATTTAGGATTGAATAAGGATCTCAACTGGTAAATTACAAAGGTAATTTCCCCTCTCTGGATATTCATATCTCCATCCCAAATGCGGTGAATAACCCATTTCTGCCCTGACTTGATTAGCTTCATTAACACAAGCAATTTCTTCCTTATATATACTCCTGCTTCTGTAATTTCCACTCCAATGCATCTGATGAAGTGGGGTTTACCCACAAAAGTTTATGCCCTAATAAATCTGCAGTCTCTAAGGTGCCTCAGGACTCCTTGTTTTTCTTCACACCGTGTGTATCATGTGTTTCCCTTTTGCTACATGGGACACTCTCTCAGTATTATACATTTTTAGCAGTTGTTCAAAGGCAGGTTCCCCATCAATGGAAAGACAAGAAATCAGCAGAACACAAGTTCAACCCCTCCAAACTAGAGAAGATTCTTTCTAAAAAAAATGTGTTTCCCCCCATTATTCTACTCTCTACTATTCTACATAGGTTCTTATGCCACTCTTCACTGTAGTGTCTGAGTTCCTTCCAGTACCGCATTAATAGATGTAATCAGCATCTATCACACGTGATTTGTTTTCTCTGTTATGTGGCTTTCACCACGGCAGTATCTGAGCATGATGGATGTCTTGTGGCTTGTCATGTCACATAACTAATTTTCATGGCTCAGATATAAACTTGAAATGAACTGCTTTAATCATTATCAAATGCTTTCACTTTGCTTTCTAATGTAAAGCATGCTAAGCCTTGTATTGCCTTCCACACCCCTCTGCCACAGAGATGTTGTCCCTTAAATATTCTGAAGTTTGGAGACAAAAAAATTAGCTTTATAAAAGAAATAAGCTCTATAATTAGGGGGTTGTATGTTTATATGAATAAATATACTAAACATGATACAGTACTATATGCCATGGCTGTAGCTTCAATCTTCAACAACAGCATCAAGGAAAATACTGTAATTGTGCAAAAGAAATACCTTAAGACCTGGATTTTTACGCATACGTAGCCGCCCCATCCACATGTCTGTTAATAACATCTGGCTGCAAGTGTGAGCTATGAAGTCTCTGTGTTTAGCTGCCACAGCGAGTTTTAGACAGGTGGAATTACTCCAATTTTTCAATTCATAGGTCAGTAATTTCATAGCCACCTGTTCATCATGTTTATAAGATTGATCTAACAATTCAACAGCCAGCTGGCCAAAGTCTCTGAAGAAGAGAAGACATGGAAAAAGAATCTGACAAATTTTGCTTAAAAACTACAGTGTTCCCTTAAATTTGAATGTAAACTCTTTTTAGGCTGAGAGTGTTTTCCCATGTATTTGTACAGCATCAAACACAACTGGGCCTCAATTAAGGTTTTTTGGAAGCACGCAAAAGCTCTGTACAAATAAATAGAAATGATAATTAACTAACTTCAGTGTTTAAAAAGCTAACAACTAGAAATGTCATTATTGCTTGTAATATTTATTTGATCTTTTGATTAAAGGGACTGTAGAAATTATAATTGTCGTTGTGTAAACTTCTAACAGCTAAGGACAGTTATAATAAAGCCAGTTACATTTTAATGTATTAAAGTTTAAAACTAAAAAAGGCATCAAGGCACAGTGACAAACAAAATGAAGTAGAGTGATAGAGTAACATATAACTGTCATTCCCTTCAAACTTTTTAAAATTTTTATCACCTTTCTTCAAACATGTCAACTTTTTTCACAGTTTTTGTGAGATTGTGATAATATTTACTTAGAGGGACTTCAAGATGTGAAAAGAATTCTAAGCTCCTGCATCCCAATCTTGTATTTATAGTCTCAGGCTCCATAGACAAAGAAGTTGGCCAGCGAAATAATCCAAACAATCATCCCTATAACCCACCATCTTGAAAATTAATCGCAAATGCTCAAAAATAACACTGAGCAGTCTATAGGGCCCCATACATACAAGTTAGTCACATACTACACTCCAATGAACTCACTTTGAGTTGTTGTCCAAATCCTGAGAGATGTCATCCACCAGTTCACTCTCTGAAGACTCATGGGCCATGGATTTGTACAGTTTACATGCCACAAGTGCCTTGGCCATGGTCTCCTCCCCTCGCTGCCAAAGAAAGAGAGCCATCTTCTGCCGTTTCATCAGCACTGCCCATACCATGAGTTCATGAAATGGATACTGAAAGCGGCTGACTTCTGGGTCATCCACATCAATATCTATCTCTTCCTCCTTTTTCTTTTTCTTCTTTTTCTTCCCTTTGGTTGGAGGCTCGTCATCCTAAGGGAAAGCAAAACAAAAATTCTTGCCACTGAATTCTGAAAGCTATTGTGATATCGTGGTATCAACTGGAGGACTCCCAGCATTTTCAAAGGAAAGTGTGACCTTCTCACTAACAAGCAGCCTACGTTTCTGAATTACAACATGTTTTATAGTTTAATTTCTGATTTGTTTCTACAAAGAATGCCAACATCAAAAAAAATAAATAAAATAACACCTTATCAACAGATCATGCATTGGGTTAGCACTCATAGGTTAACTTTTTGGTCACAGAACGGTCACTTGCATGCTTCACAACGAGTCACCAGTGTTTAAGAAATACAGCAGAAACCTATTCTATTCAAATCATCACTTTACACAGACCAGCTATAGTATAAGCTGCAGTGCACTGCATATGTGATTGCAGTGCTTGCTTGGCAATGAACTGAAACAATGTAGGGCTTTTCTTCTGTTGAATTGTCAGTGGAACTTTACTATAAGTAGGTTCCACGGTAGATGGGATATTCTTGCAGAATAGTGTTTTATATCAGGCATTAAAGCAATTTTCAGACCAACATGCAGATGAAGAGAAGAGAAAACAGGAAAAGGGAAAAGGCAGGCAGACAGAACCCTTAAGAACACAGGTAAGATACGAGAGGGAATGTTCACCTTTGAATAAGGAATCTCCTCATATGTACGTAGTACAAACTGAAGGTAGAACTATCCCATTTTCTAAAAGAATAAGGAGGATAGGCCATTGCTACAGGAACCAACATGGAAGTAACTGAAGGGAGATATAGACAATGGAGCAGGATCCTAAAGGGAGAAAAGCCATGATTGGGAAAATTAGGATTTAAACAATGTAGGAAGAATGCTGCAGATATAGACCGTGATAGACCTATTGATAATTTGTTGGGTTTGATTTCACTATCAGAGATGGAGTGCAAGTAGTGGTGATAAACACTTTCTAACGTCAATTCTTGTGCAATCAAACTGCACTAGATTCTTTTCACTATGCACCAGCATAAGCTATATATAAAAGTTCAGAATTATGTCTTAGAACCTGAGATACCAAGCAGAAGTCTTTACATATTCATTAAGTATGTTTCATTTCTTCCTACTATTCAACCATTTCAGGAAGAGAGTAGTGGTTAACTTCTCTTCTTATAAGAATGGCAGTGGTCACTATTCACATGCATTTAGAAAACACAATAGCTGACTTTCAAGCAAAAGGTACATATGAAAGAATCAGTTCAAATTAAAAGACCAAAATTGCATATTTTTTGCAGAAAAGAGCAAGAGAAGACTACAAAATGTGAAATAATTTATTGTTAAGAGTAAATAAAATAAAAGAATTGGAAATGAAGAAAGTTAACATTCCCTCTATTTTTCTCATAAGTACAAAAACATGCTTACTTTTCTTATTTTTTAAATTTTATATTTCATCATTTCTCTTCTTTTAGCTAAAACTGCTCTGACTATAAATGGAGAAAACAGAGTTAAACTTTCAGAATACTTCAATTTGTTCTGCATAAAGCATTTGTCACTGAAGGAAAGCCACATATATTTTCAGTATATAAATGAGATCTTGGTATATAAATGTGGTCTTGTTTTTCCCATCTGTAATTGTAGCACTTTGTCCTGAATCTGTTAGAAAATATGAAGTAGTTCTGAGAGGAAAATTAAGTTTCTTTTACATTTGCTTCATACAGGATAAAGCTGCTTATCTTCAGTGGAAAACATAGGCCTTTGTGTGTGTATATTTTATAACTGACTTTAGCTTGGACATAAAACTCTATTCTCACAGTAATACAAGTTTATTTATGTTTTATATACAAAGGTCCCTAACCTTTTCATGTACCAAGTATCTAACTGGTATGTTCTAATCTAAGGTATCTATTCAAAATGTTTAGATCTGCCTTCAAATCAGAGTTTGCTGGAATCATAATCTGGGTTGTCATTTAGACCCATGGAAGAGACAGGCCCCCAACACAACATTTGGTTCCATATCTAAACTTCTTCTGATTTGGTCCATCTCCTCTTTGGGCTATTTACTATAGAGCAGTGCTTATATATGCTGAAATAATCCAACACATTTTACAAAATAACTGACATGCCATAACACTTAGTTAACTCGACGGAAAAAGCAATTTCCTGCTCTGCCCTATCTAAGGCTTCCTGGCAACATGTAAATACAGACACTACAGGCCCAGCTAGCACATTTATAAACTGCAGCATAGGTGTGAGACATGGCTTAGAGGAGAGTGCCCTATGTGCCTTAACCCCCAGGGTATATACCCTACATAGCTTTCTACATGCCCAAATCATGCCTTCCACATACATCTCTATTGCTCAATTTAGCATGAGTATATTGCTGCCTCCTCTCAGCAAGAATTTTTCCTTCCCACTGCTGGAGTCTTTTGCTGCAGCATGTAGCTTCACGCCACAGTGAAAGTGTGGGTGTAGACAGCCTTTCACTTCGGTATGTAGCTACACATGTAGTGCCTATAGTCTACATGCTGCTATAGATGTAGACATTCTCTATATCTTCCATGCATAAACTGCATTTTACATGAAAGGAGGCTTTGACCATATGTTCTTTGTGTTCATATCTAAAATTGTTTTATCTACAATATTTTACAACAGCGAGTGTGTTATTATATAATACTACTAAAAACCGATTGAGAATTATGTGAGGAAAGGTCTATGCAGAACTCAAGACGTTAAATATAAAGCAGGTTTTGGGTGTTTCAAAAGAAGTCTGTAAAATAGAAGATCCCAGCCAGATATAAATTTATATTAAACAAGTGTAAAACTGAGAAAGCTCAGAATGGTGCAGCAATGTGTTTTTCCTAGTTATAAGGGAAAAAATCCAACTTACCTCCATTCCTAAAAGTTTAAGAGCTTTTGGCTGCATATTTAAAAGAAAAACAAAAAAGAAAAAAAATTAGAGAGCAAAATGCAAAGATGTAAGCATGTCAGAAAGCAGGCTTTTCTTTTGCACAAGTAGAAACATTACCTGACAAATACCTGTAACTATAGTTTGAAAACAAAACAAAACAAAACAAACGAACAAAAACCAAAAACAAACAAACAAACAAACAAACAAACAAAAACCAAGTTTCTGATCTTGCCCCCAAAAGAGATCATCCTTTGACTCAGATACATGGAGGCCACTTTTGAAATAAAAAAACCCCAACCAACGAACCATTTAATTAGAAGCATCTATGAGAAATAACACCTAAATGAAACCTGGTTTCACTGCAGAAACTAGGTATTTTTGCACCGGGGCAAAATATGAAATATGTGCCACCTTTCCTTAGGCTAACATGTATCATACTCTTTACTTTTGCAGCTTATTATTTTTACTTATTGTGTCTTTGCACCCCTGATTATGGTGCACCCACGGCGAGTGCTCTGCTTGCCCCACACTCGTTACAGCCCTGTCTGGTTTCCTGTCTTTTTCTCTTAAGACATTAGAAATTGATTCTATGACATTTTCTTAAAATGACTCATCTTTATATTCTGGAGAAGGTCCAGAGAAGAGCAAAAAAAATGATTAAACATCTAGAAAATATGAGCTATGAGGGAAGACTGAAAGAACTGGATTTGATTAGTCTGTAAAAGAGAAGACCGAGAGGGGACATAGCAGCTTTCAAGTACATAAGGTTATTACAAGGAGGAGGGAGACAAGATAGGATAAGAGATAGTGTGCTCAAACTGCAGCAAGGGACGTTTAGGTTAAACATTAGGAAAAACTTCCTAACTGTCAGGGTGGTTAAGCATTGAAATATATTGCCTAAGGAGTTTATGGAATCTCCATTATTACAGATTTTGAAGAGTGGGTTAGACAAACACCTGTCAGGCATAATCTAGACGGCACTTGGTCTTGCCATGAATTCAAGGGACTGGACTTGATGACTTCTTAAGGTTACTTCCAGTTCTATGATTCTGTGATTTGCTTCATGATCAATACTATATTCTGGTAAGAGAATAATTTATTTTGAGTGATAAGCTCTTACTCTTGAAAGCAATCTTTTATAGGATTGATAGTAAACATTTCCAAAGTTGTTCCTCGTCTGAGGAGGCTGCTCAGCTTGCCTGGATTATTACAAGTACCTGCTCACTAATTTGTAGTTGATCTCTGTGTTTATTCTATGTAACTATTTTATGCACTTAAAAAAAACTTTAGAAGGTCTTGCTCAAAAATGCAGACTAGGAATAGTTAAACATGCATAACACCACAGATTGAAATATTGTACTTGGATTGTTAAATATCAAGCAGCATGAAAAGGGCACAACATATTTAGCACATATTGGGACCCTAAGTCTTTGTTCTTCAGCTCAGATAATTTGCAGTACCCTCATGTTAACTCTACAGGTTGTTAAACAAAGATCAAGTGGTCATACAGTGGTTCACAAGATTGAAAAAGTAGAGAAGTAGTTATTTGGATTATTGGCACTATGGGGTAATACAACATAAACTCATTCTTACCCTCTTTGGTCCAAATAAATTATTGTAAAGGGTCCGAAAACTTTTTCGAGTATAGTTGCAGCGATAAGCTCCACCCATGAGGTATTCAAGGACAAGACCAATATCTATCAGACTGAAAGTATATTTTTAGGATATAAAACAAAAATAAAGAGTTCCCCTGGCTATATACAACATGACACATTTATACTCATATGTGGTAGACTTTAGTATGTCATTATTTATTAATATATCCAGCCAGGGAATTTTTTTTACTTGGGGCCAGGTTTTTTCATGGGAGCTGTCTGTGTATCAAAGAGGAGAATTTCAGCAGTGGTTGTTGATAACAGATATATCACTACGGAGTTATCTGCAGCAGTTAAATAATACATAATGGAAGAAAAAATGTATCAGGCCAGGGAAGAAGACAAGAGCTTTACCATTTTTTATATATCTGTTAAAATGGATACAATCACATTATTGTTAATAAATAAATGCCGCTGAGGATTTATACACATTCTGTTGGTTATATGCTCCATGGCCATTTGATGCAATTTGATAGCTTTTCATTATATAGACAATGTGCTTAATTTTAGTGTGATTATCTCATGGCTGAAAGATTAAAGTGATGAACAATCTTACCAGAGGTACATGGTGCTGAGAAATTAATATGAAACAATTTTTAATTCAAAAATAAAAAGGGAGCGTTTATAGTAGCTATGAGGCTTGGTTCTGCAGAACCTTACTGACAAAAGTACTCTAATCATACACAAGGAGTTCCACTGAAGTCACTGGGACAGCACGTAGGAGACAGGGCTTGCAGAATGGCCCCCAGTGGCTTTGAGTTCTTTGAATTAATAACATTATATCTTTAAAAGCATTTGTGCCTGTATATTTGAACGGGATTTTGATCTGAAAACTAAGCTGAACAGCTTTGTCTATTTTAAGGTTTTATTAATGCAAGAATTAATTTTGCTTTTGAGATGGTTTAAATCTGGCTTTTTGTATAATGGAGTGGGTGGGGTTTTTTCTGTACACCTTACTAAAAATAAAAACTAGCATTTTATTACTATAACATTTCCATAACATGCTGCTTGAATACTTATGATCTGTGCAATAATTGAGTGAGATATCCTCATTCTGATCATACTCCAAATGCCTACATATCCTCACTAATAATTTTATGCAGTATGCGCTTATAAGCATTTTTAATAATTTGATAAATTATAAATATACTATGCTACTAAATATATTGAATTATGAAAAATATTATAGTACTTGCAAACTCTGTAGTGTAGTAGGTGCTCAGATGCCATGATGATGAGCATAGTATAAGCATTTAAATATAAACAGAAAACTCTGAATATTTAATTTACTACTCAACCTCAAAATGTGAGTCTCACGTGTTTTAAGATAAAAAGTGACAGTTACAAATTAAAAGGAGATTGGAAATTGTGAGATTCCTCTGGGAAATCAAAGAGAAAATTATCTATATTAGATAATATCGTATGTCCTTAAGATAAATGTAACAGTTCAATAGACTTTATTCCCCAAATGAGGTCACTGGAAAGACTCCTATTGTCACTGGAAAGACTCCGTAGACTTCGGATCAAGTCTATGTTGAGAAATCAAACTATTAAATTAGGATTTGATTTAATTATTCTATTTAATTTCAGGATAAATCAGAATTGTTTTATATTCCTTGTTTTTTTTAAAAAATTGGAGTTTCCCCCTGCTTGTGAAAGGTTTCAATATGCATGCTAGCTTTTCCTGTACGGGATAACTTATTTCCCCACCTCATTATTATCTACAATTCCCAGCCCATCATGTACAGGGAAATTTGGGTTAATCTGCAGTCCAAGATTGTTAAAGAAGCAGGTTGTATAACGTATATTGTCATATTGTTAAAGACTGGACAATTACATTAAATCTCACAGAGCTGTGACTGAACACTATGTTTCGCTGTTCTAACTACATATCCTTTTTGCATACGACACCTAGGTTTAGTCTAGAACAGCACTTAGCAATACACAGTGTGAAAGAGCTATGTTCTAGGGAAACAAATCACCTCCATGTTAACCCAACCAAATCCCCGAGCTTGTCGCTGAATGAGAGTGAGCCATGGAAATGCGATGACCAGGAAGAGAAAGATGGACAGACAAACATGAAAAATACACAGAACAGAGTTAGTACCATTGGAAAATGTGAAGAATGAAAAATTAGATAAGAATTAAACTCCGAGATGTATCTTTATGCATTATACATTGACCCAAACCTACAAATCCTTCATGAGGAACACTCACTAAAATCATTTGGAGTTTTCCTTGCAACAGGAACGCAGGATATATTTTGTGTAGTAAAATGACAGGTGCAAAATCCATCAAATATAGTGAATTTAGCACCAAGCCTTACAGTACATTTTATGCAGTGGATGGTAATGAATAACAGATTTATGATTTCTAACTCTGAAGAGTAGAAGTGACTTTCTCCCAAGAGAAGTAGTGAAAGAAACATTCTACACAAAAGGGAACAATCCTGCATTGGCATTTGAATAGACTGGATAATGGAGTAGGGATTTCCTCTAACTTCTCTGATTCTGTAATTTTGCAAGGAAATATTTTTCCACTGTCAAGCTTCTTTTGATATGAAAATAAATTAAGTATATTTAAATCTGGTCTGAATATCTTACACTGCAAGTGATTTAAATTTTCTTTCCTTAAAAACTATAATTTCATTTTCAAGTTTTATTTTCCATCTACATTATGTTCAATTCCCCCATGATCTGTACAATTAAAATAATTACGAAAATAAATCCTAACATCAGGAAACAATATAAAAGCTTACCTTTTTCACATCCCTGACTAGCAAATGTAGTGTATTTGGTGGACCCAATCTCTGAAAGAGATTCACATTTTGTTAGGTGTTTATATTTTCCCTTTGATAAAAAAAGTGCAGTTTCTGCAGAGCATTAGAAATCTGGATGTGAATTCCCAGAACCATCATTTGTTCTTTATCAGAACAGCACATCATTATTACTGTTTTCTTCATAAATAAAAAGATGGAAGGTATAACTGGCCAAAGTAACAAGTCACTAACAACATTTACAACCATCTTTGTGGTGCTATCATCCTAGGAACCCGGTGCAATGGTCAAGTCTTCAGATACAAGCTAAAGGAGCCTTCAAGTTACTAACAGCTAAAAGGGACTGTAATCCCCATCTGGGAATCCCAAAGTAGCCTTGCCTTGGCAGTAACTCTTTACCTTCCGCACTGGAAGCAGTGAGAGGTAATGCAGGAGTAGTTTATGTCAGTTCTGTGTAGGGATGTAAAAGAGTAGTCGATTAGTCAACTACCTTATAAGCCTAGGCTACTCGCATTCCCCCCCCAAACACACACTTTGCTGCCTCTATATCTGCCCCCCACTATATAAAGGATGTGGATACACTGGAGAGGGTTCAGTGGAGGGCAACCAAAATGATTAAGGGACGGGAGCACATGACCTGCAAAGAGAGGCTGAGGGATTTGGGCTTACTTAGTTTGCAGAAGGGAAGAGTGAGGGGGGATTTGATAGCAGCCTTCAACTAGTCCCAAGCAGCCTATGTGTTATAAAAGAGACAATATGGTCTGTTGGATAACGCACTGTACTAGGATTCAGGAGAACTGGGTTTTATTCTTGGTTGTGCCACTGACCTGCTGGGTGACCTTGGGAAAGTCACTTTGTCTCTTTATGTAAGTGGGAATAATGGTATTTACTTTCAGGTGTAAAGTTCTTTGGGATTTATGGATGAAAGTTTCTATATGACATTTTATTATTTCAACCATAAAGTTTAAAGAAATGAAAACGAACAAATGGTCTACAACAGTATGTTACATATCAGTGAGAGAGTGCAGGTTATCGGTTGCTATTATATATAAGGATTTGGGGTTATAGTTGGCCACAAGCTAAAATGAGTCAACAGTATGACACAAAAAAAAAAAAAAAAAAAGGGACATGAGAAATAATGCTTCCACTCTACTCCATGCTGATTATGTTTCAGCTGGAGTATTGTGTCCAGTTCTGAATGCCACATTTCAGGAAAGATGTGGAGGAATTGGACAGGGTCCAGAGAAGAGTAACAAACATGAATAAAGGTCTAGAAAACATGAGCTATGAGGCAGGGCTGAAGGAATTGGACTTGTTTAGTTTGGAAAAGAGAAGACTGAGAGGGGACATGATAGAAACTTTCAAGTACCTAAAAGGGTGTTACAAGGAGGAGGGAGAAAAATTGTTCTCCTTGATCTCAGATGACAGGACAAGAAACAATGGACCTAAATTGTGGCAAGGGAGGTTTAGGTTGGACATAAGGAAAAACTTTCCAACTGTCAGGATGGTTAAGCACTGGAATGAATTGCCTAGGGAGGATGTGGAATCTCTGTCATTAGAGATTTTTAAGAGCAGGTTAAACAAGCACCTATGTTGGTCTAGATGGTTCTTGGGCCTGCCATGAATGCAGGGGACTGGGCTTGACTTCTCGAGGTTCCTTCCAGTTCTATGACTCTATATTTATATGATAAACCATAAGAATATTTAAAAGCTACTCTAGGGATAGTCACTAATAATATTATGTGTATCTTCAATTATTACAGTAACCTCCTTTAGTGATCTACATCTCTCCCAGTTTTTTTCTCTTTAATTTTTTTCCTTTATAAATCGAAACCACTAGTTGGAGGGTTTCTGTGCCAGTCATTGAGGGGAAAAACAGAGAAAGGAAAGGTGTAACCTTGAACCACATGGTGAGACATACTGCAGTTTATATCAGAATCCCAGCTCACTCACAGTATTATACAGCTCTTCTAGTCGAGGAATAGTGAGGAAGCGTTGCATGTTCACACCATTTTCAATCAGGAGTTTTACAAAATCAACTCGATCCAGTACCAGGGCATCCAGCATCGCCTGCTCCAGGGAATTCACCTAAAAATTGAGAACAGAGAACACAGTGCAAACTCTGGGCAAGTAAATCAGAGATGCAGTGCCAGCAACTGCTAAACAGAAAATTTTTGGGGCTTTTTGATATAAGAAATCACAGGTGACATTCAAATTATGTCCAGGCGATGAATCAAATGACATTTTGAAAATGAAGTTGTTCGTTGTGGATGTTCCTTTCTCTCTGGCTTCTTTAGTTCTCTGTAGATGTTCCATGCATAGTATAAGTGGTGTGGGGGTCTTTTTTGGATGTGTCCTTAATATTGAAGTAATGAGAGCAGTAAATAAAACCTTGCCCCCCGCCCTCAAGGCAGGATCAAGCTCTGTCTACACCATCCCTGACAGATGTCTATCTAACCTGTTCTTAAATATCTCCAGAGAGGGAGATTCCACCACCTCCCTTGGCAATTTATTCCAATATTTGACCACCCTGACAGTTAGGAATTTTTTCCTAATGTCCAATCTAAACCTCCCCTGCTGCACTTTAAGCCCATTACTCCTTGTCCTGTCCTCAGAAACCAAGAGGAACAAATTTTCTCCTTCCTCCTTGTGACACCCTTTTAGATATTTGAAAACCGCTATCATGTCCCCCCTTAATCTTCTTTTTTCCAAACTAAACAAGCCCAGTTCATGAAGCCTGGCTTCATAGGTCATGTTCTCTAGACCTTTAATCATTCTTGTTGCTCTTCTCTGTACCCTTTCCAATTTCTCCACATCTTTCTTGAAATGTGGCGCCCAGAACTGGACACAGTACTCCAGCTGAGGCCTAACTAGTGCAGAGTAGAGCGGCAGAATGACTTCACGAGTTTTGCTTACAACACACCTGTTGATACAACCTAGAATCATATTTGCTTTTTTTGCAACAGCATCACACTGTTGACTCATATTCAACTTGTGGTCCACTATGACCCCTAGATCCCTTTCCGCCATGCTCCTTCCTAGACAGTCGCTTCCCATCTTGTATGTATGGAACTGATTGTTCCTTCCTAAGTGGAGCACTTTGCATTTCTCTTTATTAAACCTCATCCTGTTTACCTCTGACCATTTCTCTAACTTGCTAAGGTCATTTTGAATTATGTCCCTCTCCTCCAAAGAAGTTGCAACCCCACCCAGTTTGGTATCATCTGCAAACTTAATAAGCGTACTCTCTATCCCAATATCTACATCATTGATGAAGATATTGAACAGTATGGGTCCCAAAACAGACCCTTGAGGAACTCCACTTGTTATCCCTTTCCAGCAGGATTTAGAACCGTTAACAACCACTCTCTGACTACGGTTATCCAGCCAATTATGCACCCATCTTATTGTGGCCCTATCTAAGTTATATTTGCCTAGTTTATCAATAAGAATATCATGCGAGACTGTATCAAATGCCTTACTAAAGTCTAGGTATATGACATCCACCGCTTCTCCCTTATCCACAAGGCTCGTTATCTTATCAAAGAAAGCTATCAGATTAGTTTGGCATGACTTGTTCTTCACAAACCCATGCTGGCTATTCCCTATCACTTTATTACCTTCCAAGTGTTTGCATATGATTTCCTTAATTACCTGCTCCATTATCTTCCCTGGGACAGACGTTAAACTGTAGTTTCCTGGGTTGTTCTTATTCCCCTTTTTTATAGATGGGCACAATATTTGCCCTTTTCCAGTCTTCTGGAGCATGATTGTAACTTTTTATTTGGTATCTTATAGCTAAACCAAGGGAAATGACACATTATAAGAGGGAGGTTTGCTTGCTGTGTGTGATGGCATCAGGTTAAATTTAAAAAGAATGAACATAAAGAGTGTTTTGTACTGTAACAACCCACATAAGCAACATCCATTCAATTTACAATCCTCAGATAGAAGTGACAATATACACTTTTAATCCCATGTGGGTTTAATGTGTCTGTTTGCATCACTTTTATAAGGACTTTGAAGAACTAAGAACTAGTTCTGTTGAAATAGTTCATTCTCTGATTTATGTTTGGGGTAGGCAGGGTGTGTGCGCACACATGTAAACTTAGAAGAACAGATTAGTGGGAGAAGTCAAACAAAACAAAGAACATAGCAGCAACTGGAAGAAAGATGACACTTTCATTTTACCCAGTTTAGTAGTTCTATCTTCCGTGGATCTGTTTCTTCTTCTGGCTCTTCTTTCGCTTTCCCTCCCTTTTTTTTCCCTTTTCCTTTCCCTCTGGCTGCTTTAGTTTGAGCTGATGGGGATTTCTTTTCCTTTTCAGCTGCTGTGCCATCAGTTGCTGTAAGGCTTCCTAAAGGCTATATTTAATAAGGCACAAATATTAAGGTAATATAATTAGTTGTTTAGGCAACTGGAGGATTGTACATCAATGGAATGTTCATCTATTGAATCCAATACTACCACTCTCCTTTACAGTGGTGCTGTGTGTCACCTACCCTCACTCGGTGTGGCATGCTGTTCCCCTTTGGTGGCCATCTATCTAGCTATCCACAAACACAGTTCTAGGAATCCCAGGTGTGATACCAGCTGCTTATGACTGACCCAGGAGCACAGAGTAGCATATAAAGAAGAAAATAGACTAGGCAGAGAATTCACTGTATTGGGTGTTGCCTTTTCAACTATTCTTATCTGTAGTGGCAAATCTTTTAACAACATCAAGGCCCACATTGGGACACAGTGTGCAAGAAAGATCCAAAATGAAGAATACCCACTTCAATTAATGCAGAGATTCATTGCCTGAGTGCAAATACCCCATTCCATAACCATTAACACGATTCTTTATTTCTCATATGAGTAACAATATCCAAAAAGTGGGCCAACCACAGATTGTTGTAGTAAGTAGGTAAGTCTGGGATGCAAGTGGATGTCTCAAGATAAGGTACAACTGAAAAGTATGGTATGATGCCTGATACTTTACCTTCTTTCCTCTGTTTAAACATATGTAGGAAAATAGTGGAATGTCAAAGTAAAAGCAACATGCATACAAGGAACAGAAGGGACCGGCTTAATAAGAATGCCATATGGCCATCAGTTGACCTCCATATAGTTGTTCAGGATAAGGATAAAGCCAGAAGATGGCACCTAAGTGGCACATTTACATTCTAAGATCAGGATTATGTTCAGGTCTCTTCAAACATGCCTATTCTCTACTATATCATTCTCTATTTTAACCTGTGTTCTTGGGAGTAGGGAGGAAGTCATGCTTGAGGCTAGAACTAGGCTGTGCTTAGATATTGACAGATGTTTGGCTGCATGTATGTTCTCTTAGTGTGCTACCCCATCCCTGCGCAGACAGCTGGCATGGCAGACCTTGAGCGAATCACCACAAGATCCATTAAGGGACAAAGGCATCCACATAGATGTAGTGTGGATGAAGCCCAGTACTGACACTATGATTCTGCAGGTATGCTTGTAGCAATGGACCAGGTCAGTGAATGGCGAAACTTTCCCTTCCTCCCTTGGCCAGACAAATATACTTCCTTTGAGATACATTGTTATACCTTGATACAAACAAGTTAGTACTGCCTCTCTGACGTTGTTATTGTAATTACTGTAGTTACTGCCCCCTGACATGGCTAGTACATGTTGGCTCAATCAAAACATCTCTATTATGTACTTTTATTCTGACCTTATCTTTTAGAAAGGGTTAGTGTGTGCCTGTTATCACTGGGTAATGCTTTTTTACCATCCTTAATATCAGGATGTGCTGGTACCAGTTGGTATTGGGATGTGTTTGCATAAGTATTCTGTGACTAGCACTTCTTAGGAATGTTTATTTTTGCAATTTAAGTCCTGTTCTCGCCATGAACTTGAAACGACAATGAATTGCAATTGGCTCATGCAATTTCCACAAACCGTTGAAGAGTACAAAGATTAAAAAGGACAAAGCAGCAATAGGTTTTGTTTGCCAGTTGGTATTTTTGAATCTAAACACAATAATATGGAGTTTGGAACATATCCTCTGAATAAATGGATTTATAATAATACCTTATATTGTTTAGGATCCCTAAATCCTCTTTATAAATATGTTTCTAATGGACCATGAACATTGGAAACATTACACTGCTATCACAGAAAGAAGAAAATAATGTGTACACAAAAGTGTATTGGTTAGATTTTTAATGGCTGAGGTTTCTAAATAAGAACATAAGAACAGCCATACGGGCTCAGACCAAAGGCCCATCTAGCTCGGTATCCTGTCTGCTAACAGTGGCCAATGCCAGATGCCCCAGAGGGAGTGAACAGAACAAGTAATCATCGAGTGATCCCTCTTCTGTCATCCATTTCCAGCCCCTAACAAACAGAGGCTAGGGACACCATTTCTACCCATTCTGGCTAATAAGTATTGATGGACCTAACCTCCATGAATTTATCTAGTTCTGAAATGAAACAAACTTCAATGAAAAATACATAGTTAGTAGATGTAAAGTGGCCATTTTATTGTACATAAATTGAAGAAAGACACTAATTAAAAAAAGGAACCTTACTTAACTGTTATGGCCTATTTCATCATAGTTTCTCAGAACACATTGTAATAATTTGACACCAGATGTCTCATCTAATAAAGCAAAATGCATCAGCATAATGAGTCAAACTGGCTTAACAGGTTGTTGTTTTTTAAGTATGATGCTAGGGGTAGAAATTTCCAAAGTTCTTAAGTGTCTGATCTTCTTCCACTGAAGTCAATGGGAGCTTTACTATTAACTTCAATAGTATCACAGTTTGGGTCACAAGACCCATTCCAATGCCTTAGGCACTTCTGAAATTTCACCCAAACTTTCATTTTGCATGATCCTGCACAATTAAGGGCCTCATATTCAGCACTGGTATCCTCCTGCTCATGATTTTGTCCCATTAATTCAAACTGGCATTGTCAAAGGAGTCTCCTAAGTGCCTTTGTATTTTCAAGCCTTACTGTGTAGTGGATTAGGCCAGATGTCTAACTCTCGGCTTGCCGCCTGAGCACTAGTTAAGTATGGCTAGAACATTCAGCTCACCATGGGTGTTATGACTGATACTGTGAGGCCTGGTCGATACTACGGTGTTAGGCTGACGTAAGGCAGCTCACATGAAGCTAATTACGTCAGTGTACACACTACAGGTTCACTCCCACTCATGTATGTGCCCTATGAAGCCAACATAACAACTCCATGGTCACAAGAGGCATAGGGCTTACATTAGGAGAGTTAGGATGATGCAATTTCTGTGTAGACTCTGTGCTACTTACATTGGCTGCTGGCAGTCATTTTTAGCAATTCTAGGCTCCATGTGGGAAGCTGAGCTACTGTCATGGCCCATATGGAGGACTCCAGGTAAAGCATGGCTGTCTGCCCCAGCTGCCTACCCTGTTTGGAGCTCAGCTGCTGCCCAGAGGCTCCTGACTCTCTGTGGGGACCCCAAAGGCTCCAGGCTGGGAGTCTAGCTGCACTGAGACTCTCTGCTCCCCACTGGGAGCCCAGAAGCCACCTGGCCTCGGCGCTCCTTCCTGGGAGCCTTAGGCTTTGTCTACACTGCAGCGTTTTTGTGCAAGAAACGTTTTTGTGGAGCAGATCTTCTGCAAAAGCTTCTTGTGCAAAAGCACGTCCATGCCACAAAAGCGATGTGTTTTTGCTCAAGAGAGCGTCCACACTGCATGGGTCCTCTTGAACAAGAAAGCTCTGATGGCTATTCTGTGAATGGCTATCAGAGCACCTGTACTTTTTCTGATAGGCTCTTTCTGCACAAAAACCCCTGTAGAGCATCCACACTTGCCTTTTTGTGCAAGATCTGTAGCACAAAAAGGAGTTATTCCTCGTGGGGAGAGAAAGAACTCTACTGGCAAAAGCCCTCTGTCCTGTCGATTTACTGTATTTTTTTTTGCAAAAACAGGCTTGAGGTGTGGACGCTTCACCGTTTTTTGTGCGAAAACAGCCATTTTTGTGCAAAAACCTTGTAGTGTAGACATAGCCTTAGGGGGACAGTCTCGCTACCAGCAGTGGGGAATGGGGAGGGGAGAACTTGAGAGCTCGGGGAGCAGCTAGTCTGAGGAGCTGAAAGCCCAGGCTTTCACCTCTCCATAGTACTCCTCTTAAGATTATGGAAATGCTCTTGGGGTGGGCACACACCACCTGCAGAAGGAGGCATGATTACTGCAGTGGCTGTAAATTGATCTAACATAGGTTGACTTAAGTTTCTAGTGTAGACATGCCCTCAGCATCAGTCAGACCCACCTGCTTTTGAGACAAGAAATTCAGAGAATGAAGAGACATCTCAGAAGAATCCATCTGCTATTTTTCATTTCAAAAACACACAAGTTTTGTTGTTAATAACTTTTTGCAAACAGACTAGTAGTGTTTTCTGATGAGCTGTCCATATGGAATAGCCCAGATCAGACCATTATGAATACTAAAAGAATTCAGCATTAATGTCATTGCCAAGCAAATCAAAGGAAGGGATTATTTGCCACTTAATTTAAAATTATTGCTAAATAATCTGTCTAGGAAAAACAACCTTACCGGCCAGTGATGCCCAAAGACAAAGATTTGGCTTCGTGCAATGTCCACACGGTTCCAGGCCAATGCCAAGCTCAGCTGATCTGGTGCAGATGCGTTGGTACCTAAGCAAACAAAAGTATCTGGCATTTCCTTTTCATGTATATAATGAGTGTGTGGTCATCACTGTAATTTAATTCTCGGGGAGTTAGCTCAGATCTTCAGCTGGTGTAAATGCAAGCCATGGTGTTGAAATGAATGGAGCTATGATGTTTTACACCAATTAAAGATTCAGCCCAATAATCCTTTCAAAATTGAGAATAGTAAAGTTCTCCCTTGCTCCTTGCTGTTCACAGAAATTGACTTTAGTCCCTTACTTATTTTAGCAAGGGTATTAGATTTGGCGCATCCATCAACATCAGCGATACGCTATCAAGCTCTATATATGTTGTTTAAACAACATGATGCAGTTTGAACATTCAAGAATAATTGTCAGCAGTGATAGAATAATCTCAGAAAGTTCAGATGAGCTCACAAACAAACATCTTTGTGGTAAGAGCGGTATGGCTGAGAACGTGCTTTGGAATTCAGCTAACAGTGCAACCAACATTACCTTCTTTACAAAGATTTACTTTAAAAACCACAAAACCCAGACAAACACAATAGAATATCTGGAAATAATACAGCAAAGGGGAGTTGGCTGCATCCCTTAACCCAGCTCATTCGCCATCACCATATCATCCTCCATCCTTTTTATTACCTGTTTGATTTACATCCTACACCCTGACATAATTTTTAAACCAAACAAGAAAGGCTGTTCTTCTGGCGTTTCGAGTCTAAGTGGAAGAAGGAAGCTGTGGCAACTTTAGGGGAAAGCTATGAAAAAGTATGCATCTCGACCTTACATTTTGGGCTCATCTTTTATCAGACACCAAATGCTTTGAGGTTACTCATCTGAACTGATAAGAACAGAACAGTCAGAAGCTTTGGCATTTTGAATGACCCACACAGAGCAAGTGTCAAAGAGGTCGCCCTGTTAGTCTGTTTCAGCAAAAACAACAAAGAGTCCAATGGCATTTTAAAGACTGACACATTTATTAGGGTATTAGAGCAAAAGCTTTCATGAGCTACAACTCACTTCCTCATCCTGAAGAGAAAAAAAAAGAAAAAAGAAAAAAAAAAAAAGGACACAGAGATGGGAGTGTGAATTTATATTTTTGGTTTTCCAGTTGGTTTGTTCATCGTTATTTGTTGCCAGCGTAAACACTCACCTTTAAGTAGAGCAGTTAAAATAGACATTTCAATGTCCTGTTGCCCCTCAGAACCCATACGGAACACAGTTATCTAAAGAAGAGAGTAAAACCAAACACACTCAGGAACATAACTTAGAACAAATGAAAGAAAGATAAAATATTGGAAGAGACGGGAGAGAAAAAAAGAGCAGATAAATTACAAATTTCCTATATTGTGTGAAAATTTTTTAAATTTGCAATTTCTGTTATATTTTAATTGAAATGTCTAATTTTGATAAATAAAAAAGAATGAAACTTTTATATCTTTATCCTATTCTTTGACTAACCATATAACGTGTTAAAAAAATTAAATTTTGGTGAAATTTTTTCACTGACATCTCAGATTTTGACAAAAAACACAAGACAAAATTGTGCCAATTTTGTATGGTTTTCTAACCATTTCTAGTATTTTACAGTATTATGAATTGCCTATTAATACCTGAAATAACCATTATGAAATTTCTGTGACTGAAGTTAGCATTCACACAAGTTTGAGATGTGAGTTAAATAATACATTGGAAAAAAATAAAATCCTAAATGAACCTTGGAGAAAATCTCTTGTAATACAAGACTAGATATTAGTATTGATGTTTGGTTCAGTTGCTTATTAATAGCTATAAAATTGTAAAAAATAGTTACTGCCTTTAAGAAACTGAGATGAAGCTCTGCATTTAAAAAAAGAACAGAAAGAAAAACAATGTAATGTAGGATTCCAACAGATAATCTAATACGCGAACGTTTAAAAGATGATAATTCCACAACAGCAGACAAAGTGTTTCCAGACCTCTCCATCCACAAGTATCCTTTTATTGCGTAAAAAAGTGTCAACCTTTAGGATTGGAAATTCCTTCAACTTTCAGTAACTGGTATCAATTTTGTACATAGGAAAAAACATGTTTGGTATAATGACATTGAGGAAAAGGAAAAGTTACATCTATTATAGGGAAGTAAGCAGAATGATCAAATACTTTGCGCAAATACTTTGATGCTCCCACTCAGGGATAAGCCCTCTTGTGCAAGAATACTTGCGCAAGAGGGCCAGTGTAGACAGGTACCTTAATTTTTTGCGCAAGAAAGCCCGATGGCTAAAATGGCCATCGGAGCTTTCTTGAGCAAAAGCGCGTCTATATTGGGCATGGATGCTTTTGCGCAAAAGCATCCGTGCCAATCTAGACACTCTTTTGCGGAAATACTTTTAATGGAAAAACTTTTCCATTAAAAGTATTTCCACAAAATCATGCCAGTCTAGACGCAGCCTCTGAGTTTTATTCTGTGAATGAAGCTTCCCATGATTTGACATTTTTTAATTCCAAATAATTTGATGAAGGCAAGGTCCTGGTCAACTCTGTCTACTCAATGAAATCTTCTACTGACTTGAAAGTGGAAAAGAGTGTCGTAATAAAGCAAGTTCCTTGGGAAGGTCTTCTTCAAATGTGCTTTCCTGTGCTTCTCCTCTCAAAATAACCTTCTGTTTCCCCAAGCAGGTAGGTATGGGTGTGACTGCCACATGCCTTCAGTGACCTAGGTTGGGGACGGTGGAGAGTTCCAGGAGGGATTTGCCTGTGGCGGCACAATTCCGAACCAAAATGTGTGAGTGGAGAGTACACTCTTTGGATGGAATTGCTCGCTATCTCACTTCAAACCAAGAACTCTCTCCTCGCTGGATCTCCTCACCTCCTCTGGGGTGCACTGAGCCTTTGTAGGCTCACAGAGTACACTTCTTATGTTCCCACAAAGCCCTGCCAAGGCAGTTGTTCACAGCCCTTTTTCAAAGGGATAAGTGGCTAAAACAAGAACCAATTGGAACCTTAACCAGAACTTCACCAAACAAGAAAAAAGTTTGGGAAAAAAGCATATTTAATTTTTGCCCCGTTATTTTCATATTTGTGTCTCTGCCCTTCTGGGTTCTGGTTGGCATTATAAGCACTATAAGAAAGGCAAGATTTCTTCTGACTGTATCAGCTTAGCATCATTAAGATACCTCATTGCAAACAGAGGACTGAAACCTGCCAGATGCTTAGCATTCTGGCCTTGATCCAGCCAAACACTTAAGTCCAAGCGCAGTCCATTGAAGTCAATGGGAAGTTAAACATATGTGTGAGTGCTTTTCTGGATCAGGGCCAGAGTGCATAGGATTTTGCAGGGCTGAACTGAGAAAGAATAATATGCTTTATAATGTACTTTATTAAACACATTTACAGTAAAACAATAAGGTGACACATTCTGTTCAAACTTGATGTGCAAACTTTTTGAAAAGGAAATTTGATGAAGGGATCTAGGAATACTGACTTCCTTATAGTCAGTGCTTCAAGTACTAATAAATGTCATGCTCAGTTAGGAAATACTACTTCTGTGGCAGTGAACTGGAGTGCAAAATGGATATAAGTATCTGGTTTTCAATTATCCTACAGGTATCCTACAGTATGTCACAGATGCTTGGACTGGAGAGCATTACACCTGTAAATGTCGTTTGCTCTGTATCATTTTTATGTTACCCCAGAATATCTAAAGATGTTTTGCTTTTGAGTATTAGAGTAAGATTTAATCTATTCATATCAGCCTTCTGAAAAGTACGTCTATGTACTGTAAGGAAAATGCAATGATTTTTGTTTCTAAATGACTGCTCAATAAAAATAACTAAACTGGAAGAATAATCTGGTAAATAATTTTATGCATTAGTGATTATTATGCATTATTAAAATAACAGTCTAACAATTATTGGAATTAATATTATAATAGCTCCTATAGACTTCAAATACGATTGGGGTCACGTTATTCTAGGTGCTGTACTTACGTCTAATAAGAAATTGTCCCTGTTTCTAGGAGACTGCAATCTAAACAGACAAGGAAAGGAAAGCAACTGGACGAGAAGTTTCCATTGTTTCCATTTTACAGATGGAGACTGAAGCACAGAGAAAGCAATTCATCCAAGTCAAACAGGGCATCTGCTAGATTGTGAGTTCCCCGAGGCAGGGATCATGTTTCTTGTTATGTGTATGTACAATAGATGAAGCACAATAAGACCCTCGTCCACAACTAAGGTTCCTAAATGTTACCCTAATGCAAATAAATAATAGTATAGTAGAGCTGGAACTGAACCCAGGTTTTCTGAGTCCCAGTATAGTTCTTTGAACTGCTAGAGCTTGCTTCCTCTCCAGTGAAAAATCACTACATTGAATAGCATTTGCTTGGGGCTGAATTTTTAGAGAAGCTTGCCCCAGTTTCTGTTCAGAGTAAGGATTGAGCACAAATTGCATAAGAATCACAAGATTTGGCATTTATTTAACACACTAGGGTTTCAGAACTAAGCAGCATAAAAATCTAGGGAATGAAGATTAAAAGGATTTTCTGCCCTTTAGACCTCTCTTCTGACTAAGGATGTCAAATAGTGACTAATCGACTAATCGAATAGTCGATGCATCGACTATTCGATTAGTCAATAGGGCGATTCTGCCCTTGAAGTGTAGCTGATCCTAGGCTCCATGCGGTGCTGCCACTTTGAAATGTCACATGCATCCTGACACTGGGCTCCCCGCAGCATTTCAAGTGGCAGTCCCACATGGAGGCCAACGTCAGTGGGGGAGTCTCCAGCTAATCCTGGGCTCCACATGGCGCTGCCATTTTGAAATGCTGCATGAAGCCTGGGGAAAACCCAGCTGGCCCTGGGCTGCACACGGCGTTTCAAAGCAGCAGCACCATATGGAGCCCAGGGTCTGGCCTCAAGCTTCAAGTGGTGCTGCCCCTTTGAACTATCTCCTCCTCTTCCCCCCCTTGCTACCTCTTTCTGATGGAGGTAGCAAGTGGGGGGGAGGGGCAGGAAGTGACTAATCCACTAGCATTTCGACTATCTGTTAAGCATTTGCTTATTGGATAGTTGACTAGTCCTTCACTTCCATATTTCGGAACACTCACTGAACCTTACTGCCTATTCTTGGCTTTTTCTGAGCGCTAGGGTGGAGAATTGGCCTCAGGTTTCTTCCCCTGGCATACTTGTTCCTCTGCAGGCCCTGGCTCAAGTCCTGTCTCATGAGCCTGGCTCTTCCCTGTAATTTCAACTACCAGATTTCTCTCCACCCTCTTTTAAGGCCCAAGTGACCATTAAGCTAGTTAACAGCCACCCACAAAATAACTGCTCAAAGGTGGATCTGGACTGGCTTGTTCTCCTTTGCAGAGCCTGTCACAGGTCAATTAGTTGCTGACTTCCCTGAAAGGGACACAGGGCAACCCATTGATTGGGTGTCTGATACCTGAGACTGATGCAGGCAAAAAATTCCCCACCGAAATGAACAGATACAGAAAATGTGGCTCACAATCCTCTTCCCAAAAAGCAAGGTATGTTTTAATCACAAAGGCAGGCAGACATACCGATGCTAACTTCAGTCTAACTAGCACAGTGCCAAGAGTAGTGAAAATGTGGCAGTATGGGTTTGCTGTCCTAGTACAAGCCTGCCATGGACCCTAGTACTACTTGGATTGTTAGCTGATGTTGAAGCCTGTGTCGCCTGCCATGTCTTCCTTAGTACTGTTACTTGTGCTAGCTAGGTCCAAACTAGCATGGATAGACCCACTTGGCTACAGTCTCACCTTTGCTTGCCGCATAAACCCACCCTTAGTGTCTGTTGGACAAGTGTTAAACATGCAAGCACCAGAATTCAGGTCCCACATCCCCCTGCAAGCAGGGATCGGCATACTTAGGCATATGAAACAGGAGGCATTTTGGAAGAACAAATAGAGGAGATAAATACAGACTTTGCCATTGTAAAGGGATAGGAGATGTTCTTTGTCTGCAAGAAAAGAGCTGCACCTCTTTCAACCTAATGCTCTGCCTGACTGCCTTCCCTCAGTCAACATCATAGAGATGTGGCATCACTACACTAGCCACAGAATCAGGTGTAGCAGAGAAGTCAATTATCCCAAATTTCATACTTTTCACTACCTTCTGCATCTGATCCTCCCATAATGTGTATTTTTAAAGTGTAGCACATCTGGTTACCAGCAGGTAGCTAGGAGAGAGGGTTTGGTATTTCAGTTCCACTCTCACCTCTAAAAATAACCACAGCTAGAAAAGAAAAAAACCCAATAATGGAAATGGGAAAAGCTAGACTTAGCCAGTTAAAACTGCTGTTAAAAACAAAGCTGTTAAAATGTCATTGATGTTTGAAAGTGGCTGCTTCAGATTTGTAACCAGGAAGAATTAATTGGAAATCTACCCTGTGACACAAGGGAGAGTATATTCATAGGATGAAAATATGAAAAAAATCCACAGCTGCAATTAACCAAGTGGAAACATTAATTGTATGCTAAAACCAACAGACTATAACCCCATGAGTACAAGTGCTATTGATTGTTGATGGATGAATAAATTTATGAATCCTAGACAATTTTCCTTACTAGTGAATTTCTCCCCTGGTGAGACCTGAAGGAATATGACTCAATGATGTGGATAATACTGTAATGACAAGCATAGATCAGGCTTAAGGACATTAAACATTCATTTGCAGGACTGAAAAAAGACAAGTCTCTTATAAAAGACTGCAACACAAAAGACTAAAATCACTTCTCAGAATCTTCCCTCCTTTTATTTCTGCATCTGATCCTCCCATAATGTGTATTTTAGGGCCCAAATCTGTCTTACTGAAGTCCATCGGAACCAGCAGCGGATATAGGGGAGGGCAAATGGGGCGGCTGCCCCAGGCCCCGCGCTTCAATAGGCCCCATGCCAACGCCAGGGGTGGACTGGCAAGGCGGGATACCGGGAATTTCCCGGTGGGCCGGCTGGCGGCTGCTGGAGGAGGTGGGGGAATTGTGATGGGGTGGCTCACATGATCAGAGTGGGACTACTGGAGGAGTGGGCACAGGGGAGGTTCCTTTTTTCTATTCTCCAAAGGGGGGCCCCGTGAAATTGTGCTGCCCTGAGCCCCGCGAAACTCTCATCCGCCTCTGATCAGAACAGTCTCATTCACTTAAATAGGAGCAGAATTTAGCCATTAATTTGTAACCTGTTTGGGCTAGGAATTTGGCCATTAAGTTGTAACTTGTTTGGAATTATCTTGCCTTAGTCTATATTTGTCAATCATTGTGCAAATTTCCAGCATTCTGTGAATGAAAGATAAATAGTAATACAATGTAAATGGCATTTGAAAGAAAGGGTAGGGTTGTACGAAGGCTAAGACATTTGTGAATGCCGTGGTGACTGGTGGCTGTGAAGGACTGTGGGGGGCCACCTAGAGGGGCAGGGAGTGGGCATGAGGGGGCACCCCATTTAGAAATTAAGAGGCTTATGGAGACAGTGCACCTCCCAAGTACTAGCATGAGTCACCTATATGGGAATGAACATTATGGCACTTACAAGTTCCTTCTTTTTCATACACTCCATGAGAATGACAAACAGCTGGTGGGCTTGGTTCCGGTTGTAGTTGAAAGTTTTTTGAATGGTAACTAGAAGCTGGTCCCTTAGAGATTCACTTATTATCCTAAAGGGGAAAAAAGAGAAAATACCTAAAAATAATATAAATTACACTCCATCAGTAAAACAAAAACAGCAAAAACAAGCTGCGGCTCCTGCATGTTGGGCCCTTTCAAACGTCTCGAGCAGCTGCACTCAGCTGAGTCATGGTGTCTGACCAGTCACAGGAGCTGGAGGTAATAGTAATGAACTAGGGGTGTAATAGTATAGTCGGTTAATCAATTAACTGATGAGCAAAAGCTTATAGGTTAATGTTATAGACTACACGCATTTCCCTCCTTCTCCCTGCCAGTTAATTTTTTAGCAGGGTGGCCAACAGCCTGGCTCAGGCCAGGACTGGCAACTACCCCCACTGTGGCTCTCCATTTAAAGTGTATTAGGAGCCAGGTGGGCAGGCAGCCCAGCTCAGTTCTGGCTTGCACCGGGTCCAGGAGCTCAGATCCCACCTGGATTGGGGCTGCTGCCATCCCACAATGCTGCCTCTTTATCAGAGGCAGCAGCACAGGGTGACAAGCAACTGGTCCTCAAGGGGAGCTGGTTTTTAAACTGGCTCCCCTTGTGGACCATCTCCAGCCTGGCACCCTGTGCTGCTGCCTCTGATAGAGTGGTAGGGGGTCTTCTCGGGAGTGGGGCTGCAGCACACTGGCTGGGACTATAGAATAGTCGACTAGCCGATAATTCACGAGGTTACTCGACTATTCAATTAACCGATATTTAACATCCCTATTATGGACTCCCAGAAGTCTCAAGCTGTGCTCCTCTCCTCCTCTCCCTGCTCCCCCAAGAGTCAGTCACCAGTTCTTGTTTACAGCAGCTCCGTGAGTGACTCGCATGCGCTACAGGCTGCTCCTGACGCCCCTTCCCCTTACGCCAGCACCCGCTACGCACTTGAGGGGAGGGAGGAGGTGTGGGGCATCCTGCTTGGAACTTCAGTGAGAGGGGGCACTGCCTCCTGTGGGGCTGCTGGGGCAGTGGGGCCAGGAGCTGTGCTTGTCCCAGGGCACAGGGAGCCCCCTGAGCAGGGGTGACTGAGGAGAGAGGAAAACACATGGGAGGTCCCCCTGCCCCAAAACCATGTTGGCCTTTGGGTATTTAGGTCCCTGGCAGGAAGGCAAGGGCGCCATGGCTGCCTCCCCTGGGGCTGCCCAAGCGGTGGAGCCAGGAGCTGTACTTGTAGCAGGGTGCAAGGAGCCCTCCTCCACCATCCTTCACTGGTTCAACACCCCTCCTCCCACACTCAGCCTGCGGCGCAGGGGCGGGGCAAATGACACCACACCCAGCTTGTGGAGAGAAGCAGAGCAAGTGGCTCCGTGCACTGTTCCCCCAGCACTGAGTGTGTCCGCACCCAGCTCATGGAGAGAGGGAGAGGAAGCAACTCCATGCACCGTTCCCCTAGCATGGAGCCACGTGCTCTGCCTCTCTCCATGAGCCAGTCTGGCAGGAAAAGTTGTCACCCACCCCCCTCTATGTGAGGGCCAACCAAGGAGTTCAGCCTCCAGAGGGCATTTTACAAGACCGCTAATTTCACTTTAAAATGCTGCATATGCTTTTCAGAACAGCTGGCAGAATGGGATTTGGGGAAGAAGGAATGGGCGTATTGTGTTTTGCTGCTGGGCAGTATTGTATTTGGAAGTGGATGAAGAACAAAGGAGTTCTGGTCAAGGGGAGCCTGGAAGCTCATACATACTCTGGTGAAAGTGTTAGCTGGGGCACTGTTAACCAGAAAACTTTGCTAACTGGCATTGCGCCCCACCACAATACCGCTGCACGTTCAGGCACACGGGCCTGACACCTTCAGCTGGCACTGCCAGCTGATGTCATCAGCAGGCACCTCCTTCCCCCTTAGCCTGCCTTGAGCTGCCAGTAGCTGAATTTGCCAGAGGGCCTACTTATCTGCCTGCCATTTAGGAGGAGGGCACAACGAATATACCCTGAGCGAGTGAATGTATGTGTTGGAGGCGAGTGGTCTGCTTCCTCCTTTCTCCAGGCTTTGTTAGTCCTTTTGTTAGGCATTCCCAAGGGTTGGAGGTTGGTCGCAAGGAAGGGGGCAGAGGCAGAGCAGTAAGCCTGCATATCCGGCACTTTCAACTAACTGTCATCTCCAGCCTGATCCTGGCCTGCATATTTATACCTGCCTCTGGAGATTTCCACTACATGCATCTGACGAAGTGGGTCTTTGCCCACGAAAGCTTATGCTCCTACACTGCAGTTAGTCTATAAGGTGCTACAGGACTCCTCGCTGCTTTTGTGAGAATTGTATCCCTTTTGTTTCTAAAACTCATGTTTGTAACTTGAATGGCCGCTTGTATCAACATTTCAATGTTTTCAATCACCTCTACGGGCAACACAGAGGCAAAATGAGTCGTACCACCCCCTTCCCCAATGCCCTGGACCATCCACGGCCTTGGTAATGATCCCCAGAATCTTACCCCCCTTCCTCAGAATATTTGTGTGCAAAAGACAGAATGTCAGATGCTCGGCCACTGCCATCACAGATCACAATGGGCAGAGGGGGCTCTTCTCGCAGACATTCCAGGACGATAGAGATCACATTGGGACCTCCTTCCACTATCAACCCAACCACAGGCACACCTTGTCCCAGCCCTGCAAAACAAAGAGGTGTGTCATTAAACCCAAGTAACAGCACTGGCTCTGTTTCAAAGAGTGGAATGCTGTGCATGTGTCTGAATTCTGTGTAATGGCAGTGGAGAAGTTTCAGAAAAAGAAATGGAGGGTGAACAGGATTGGGTGGTGGCTTGAAAGATCTCTCCCATGTTTCTGCACACCCCCAAAAGAAAGAAAGAAAAACATCTCCCCGCTGACATTCTTTGGTCCTGTTACTTACTTCTATTGATTCACGCATGTGGTAGGTGATCTGTTTGGCAATCTCAACTGCATGGGAATCTTGTTAAAATCCATCTGCGACTAGATCAGCTATAGTAACCCTAATGCCTTATTACCCCAATTAATATTCTAATGGCTCAAGGGTTTAGATGTCTATTGCCACCCACCACTATATCCCCATTTTTGACACTTGCTATGTGGTGAGCCTAGAGCTAAAAGGTTCCAGTGTAAAGAATAAGATGCAACATATGAGTGTAGCAAGTGAATGAAGGGAGAGAATGGATTAAAGAAACAGAGCTTCATCACTCTCCTAGTGAAATAATTGTTCTTAATATCAAACCTGGACCTCTCCCACCACAACTTGAGACCATTGCTCCTTGTTCTGCCATCTGTCACTACTGAGAACAGCCTTTCTCCATCCTCTTTGGAACCTCCCTTCAGGAAGTTGAAGGCTGCTATCAAATCCCCCCTCACTCTTCGCTTCTGCAGACTAAACAGACCCAACTCCTTCAGCCTCTTCTCAAAGGTCATATGCTCCAGCCCCTAATCATTTTGGTTGCCCTCCGCTGGACCCTCTCCAATGCGTCCACATCCTTTTTGTAGTTGGGGGGCCCAGAACTGGACACAATTCTCCAGATGTGGCTTCACCAGAACCGAATGAAGGGGAATAATCACTTCTCTGGATCTGCTGACAATGCTCCTCCTAAAGCACCCTAATATGCCATTAGCCTTCTTGGCTTCTTATCCACTGTAGCCCCCAGGTCCTTTTCTGCAGAACTACTACTTAGCTGGTTGGTCCCCAGCCTGTACCAATGCTTGGGATTCTTCTGTCCCAAGTGCAGGACTCTGCACTTGTCCTTGTTGAACCTCATCAGATTTCTTGTGGCCCAATCCTCCTATTTGCCTAAGTCACTCTGGACCCTATCTCTGCCCTCGAGCATATTTACCTTTCCCCCCAGCTTAGTGTCATCTGCAAACTTGCTGAGGGTGCAATCCATCCCCTCATCCAGATCATTAATAAAGATATTGAACAAAACCGGTCCTGGAACCGAACCTTGGGGCACTCTGCTAGAAACCGACCGCCATCCTGACATCGAGCCGTTGATCACTACCCGCTGGGCCCAGCCTTCTAGCCATCTTTCTATCCATCTTACCGTCCATTTATCCAATCCACATTCCCTTAACTTCCTGGCAAGAATATTGCGGGAGACCGTATCAAAAGCCTTGCTAAAGGTATATCACATCTGCTGATTTTCCCATGTCCACAGAGCCAGTTACCTCATCATAGAAGCTAATCAGATTGGTCAGGCATGACTTTCCCTTTGTGAATCCATGCTGACTATTCCTGATCACTTTCCTCTCTTCCAAGTGCCTCAAAATGGGATTCCTTAAGGATCCACTCCTTCCTATTTTTGACTCATTTGGTACTTTGACACCGTGTTGTCCTCAGCATGGCATCCAGTTACGCTTTTGCTTTAGCTAGAAGCATGAACTTGCTCTTTTATCATTAGGCTGAAATGGCTGGCCGATGTAAGCGATGACAGCTGAGCAACCCTTTGCTGTCCCTGCCTCACTATGATCTCCAGGCATAGGATGACAAAGGGAAGCCCACAGTCACATGGTCACTGGAGTCTTGGTCACACGATTGCATACAACTCAGAAAAATGCAAGGGGGAAAAAAAAAACATTAGGTGCAAATTGACTGATTTCACTACCATGAACATTGGGGACAAGTTCTTTATTCTGGAAAACGATCAGCTTTTCATAAAGAGTGTGTCTCGTTTTGTACAAGTTAACTGAGAGGCTGTGAAAAGTACCACATCAGCAGCCCTGTAGATTTAATTACTCTCTCTGCAGAACAGGCACTGGATGAACTGCGGTAGCTCAAGCCCCCCAAGTATCCTCTCTCTGATCTGGTGGGATCCCAGAGACTGGTTCAGATTTTATGCCCATTAAATCCGTTCATATCCCTGTTCAGACATCCAGCAAGGGTGCCAAACAGTGTCACTTGGAGTGATGTAATTTTTAAATTACGAGGCCACTAGTAACAGGACTGAGCCTTCCCACAGAGCATGCTGTTACCTCCTGTACTTTTTCAGATTCCCGACTTTTGTTTTATAGATGGAGAAATGATCAGTCACCAATTACATAAAAAAAGAAGCAACTCAAACTCCGGAAAAGTGTATAAAAATAAGTTACATAGCACATCTTGCCTCTGTGGCCCTAAATTTCCTTCTCCCTGACACAGATGCTTTGCATTCCCAGCACATCTGCAGAAGACAAAAGTGCAGCCAGGATGTTTGGATAGCTAATGGACAACACAGATGCTTTAGCTTTTACCTGACACTCTACTATGTTCTTCTGATTTTTAAAGATCACTGAAAACCCCCAATAGTAGCTGCTATACATGCCCCATACCAACAGTATTTTGAATTGATTTCCTGTTATTTAAGGAATGACAATCTGCATGTCTCAGTGGCTATAGACAAGCCCGCTGAAGAGGGAACAGGCAGAGCAAAGAGGGAAGTTGCCATGGGGCCTGGTGATGCAAACAGCCCTGGGCACCACCACTGCCACTATAGCTGGGGCTGGATGCCCCGCCCCCACCCCCAAACCCTCCCCTTGCTCCTGAGGTGGCTGTTGGCCCCACTGGCTATCAGCATTACTTGAGACAAAAAAGATTAAGATTCAATTCAAGTACAGGAAGGAGTTTTATTTTTAATAATTTTTTAAAGTCATCACATTATTTTTGCAAACTTGAAATTAAAAAGCCCCCTTTGCTCAGACAAATAGTTGTTTATTTGGAAAGTAATAAGTCAAGTTCCCTCCTCTTCTCTTTTATTTGAAAAGCACTGGCCATCTGGCTGCAACTGAGAGAAAAAATTGGCCCACTAATAGAAGCTGAGATTCTTAAGAGGTGCAAAAATAAAAATCATCTTATTTATGTAAAACCAGATTTTCTGACTCCAAATCTCCATGTTCCCTGAAATTCACATCAAAACCAAAGTTTATTTTTACAAAACCCTGGTTTTAGAAAGATTTCAAATACTTCATACGACCTTCATGAATTTAGGGGATATCAGAAAAAGAAAATAATCATAGCCCTGCAAATCTGTGAAGATCTGCTTTTTTATCTGTGTATCAGATGCAGATACAAACTTTGTATCCAGATAGGGCTCAAAATAATATTATTTCATTGTAACTTCTCTCTCGTCTTTCTCATATCCCCACTCCACATACCAAACGAGATCACAGACTACTTATAAAGTAGCATTAATTATTCATGATGGTGTTTTTCCTCACTCTGATTTTTGGGATAGGGGAAAAATCAATGACTATTAATATTTATTGGATAAAATTGAATAATGTCAAGCCTGCCAGAGATTAGGAATCCATACCTGGCGACTGCTAAATTCTCAAACTCCAGAGACCCAATTAAGGTTTTTTATTGTTATTTTAAAAGTATCCTCATTTCCATTCCTCTGATAATAAGCTCAAAAGACTCAAGCTTCAATGATATGTCTGAAGAGGCAGCAGAAAAAAATTAAAGCTGACATATCTATCAATACAGTTTTCATTTTCCCTTGTTTCTGATTCCGAAATCCTCCTCCTCTTTTGAGATATTATTCAATCACTATGCATTATTTAGAATAAAATGAATTACTGATGGGCAACCACAGAAAAACCAACCCAGTTAGTTCTCTCATTTATCTATTTTCTTTTTGGCGATCAGGATGTTACAGAAGTTTCAATAAAGAAAGAAATCCCTGATCAAGTCTTGAGAGAAATCACATAAACTGCACCTGATAAATAATTTAGAAATGAATACTGGGGAAGAAATAAACAAACTGCAGTCCTTCATGAAACTTTACACGTAAAACCCTTAAAGGAGGAGAGATTTGCCTAGTTTAGAGATTCATTAAAATCCAAATCTCTGATTACTTTCATTGGAAGAGTTGCAGAATTTTTACTGTGAAATTCAAGGTGGAACTCAAGGGATACCAACTCAAATCAAAAGAAAGTGTTAGCACAGACTCTTACGAACAGGGACCACAGAGATTCACAGTATGTTGGTTAACTGGAATTTGATGAAGTACAGTATTATTCTTTGGTGGGTATTCAGTGAGGTCTCTGAACACTGGCTAGAAGTAGGCAAAATATCTTTCTTTGTTTTCCTTCATGAGCCTCTTTCATTTAAAGTCTTGTTCCACTGAATTCCCATCTCTCTCTTATTCCTCACCTTCCCTTCTTCCTTTTCCTGATCCTGACTCTGCTATGTATCAGAGAGGTAGCCATGTTAGTCTGAATCTGCATAAACAATGAGAAGTCCTGTGGCACCTTACAGACTAACAGATTTGTTGCAGCATAAGCTTTCGTGGGCAAAGACCCACTTCGTCAGACAAAGTGGGTCTTTGCCCACGAAAGCTTATGCGCAACAAATCTGTTAAATCTGTTAGTCTATAAGGTGCCACAGAACTTCTCACTGTTTACTCTGCTATGTTTCCCATCCTATTAGATTCAAGCCTTCTTTGTTAGCAATCCAGGCAACACATATTGTTGTTCCAGTTAACACTGACCTGATCAAGTTTCAGTCGCTGGTACAAAAATCTAAATTTCAGTCCAATACAAGTTTTTTAAAAAAAATCCACTTCATTCATGTTCACAGTTTGTCTGATGTCTCCCACTGCACTTACGTGTGTTAATTTTCTGAAGGGAGATGTGTTTTTCCAGCTGACGTCGCAATTTAACTTCAGCTCCATATTTACCAAGTGTGCCGTTGTCCGCTAGAATGAAGTGTGTATGAGAACTGTTGAGAACACAGAGCTTGCTTAGAGGATTTGACATTGTTTGATAAACTCTTGATACCTGTCAAAAGGATGCATGCATAAAGATGAAGACAAAGGCTTTACTTGCTACTATAGACACATGTGACAAACCCAAAGCCACAATTTTCAACATAATAACATGCAGCACCAGGAAGAGACTAACAATAGAGGCCTTTATAATCTGAAATACAGAACAGCCTGTCTTTAGCTGTCTGACCAGTAACTAAAGGATCTCTCACTTGCTCCTTTACAAATGCTAAAAACACCTTCTCCGTAACCACTGTCTTGTGTAGTTCCCTCACCCAATTTGACAACATTTTCTTCTGAACACCTGGAGCCCTGAGTAATTCATGTTCAGCTGCTGAGTGCAAATCTGTGTAGCTCATGTATGGGCACCAAGGATTTCTACAAAAATTTCAGCATAAAGCATCGGGGTTAGAACTCAACACTTTCCAGTACACAAAAACAGGCCCTTGCTACCTGCACTAAAATAGTACCTCTTTAGCTACACACGCTATACTTATTTTGTACTGAAAGGGCAGCAGATGAAATGCATACAACATAAGTATATCTTTATTAAAAAACTGTTCTCAAGAGGAATCAGATTCCTAGAAGTGTCTACATATAACACATCTATTATATTTGTGACTGTGCAGAAAACAGAATGAGCTTCATAGATTGCATGAATTGTCCTTTGTGCCATCAACAGTAGCTATTGGAGGTCACAGAATCACGTGCAATATGCTGGAATTCCAAACTATAATCAGCCAACATCTATTAACCCTTAGGATACTGATGACAATTAGACCTTCTCTCATGTCTCCATTGAGAGACTAAAGGTAAGTTATCAACTTCACCTTCTTCCTTTCCTCTTTGTACATGGAGCAAATACCTCTACCACTGTTACCTTTTCCCTCCTTTCCTCAGCAAAACATTTGGAGCAGAATCAGACTGAGAATTAGTTACAACAATGTACATTCATTTCAGTTCTAAAAATATGCTGGAAATGGAAATACGAAAATACACAAGAAGTGCAAAAAGATGAAGTAGGCATTTTGTTACACAGTTGATAGCCCATTACATGAGAATTTTCTTAAAGAGAAGAGACTTACATCTTTCCCAGTCAGATCCTCTTTATTTTCCACAATGCCCCATGGTGCAATTCCTATGGCACAGATTCGTCCTCTGGACTTGGATGAATGATCTTTCAAGGCATCTCCCACATGGCGAATTACTCCTAAGGTACAATTCATTTAAATTCATTCTTGATGCTTCAGAGGCTTATGCTGAAATGCTGACAAGTACTTACATACTCTTTTTCAAACTTCACAGTATTTGAAAGACACACACGTTTTTGAAACTGTTCTCAGAAAACTCTAGTTTCTGATTAAGCATCCTTTAAATCATGTACTTTGAAATAAAAAACAAACATTTTTTTTCTTTTATAAACAGTTTTCAGCTCCCTTAATCTGTTTACAAACAAAAAATAGCAAAAAGTTTTTGCTAACCTTTTTCAGTTCCAGCAATCTTATGTGCTACTTGTAACTAAAAGAAATAGCATATTTGACATTGCAGAGAAATATGAGTTTCAATTTGATAAGGTCCATTTAAATGTTAAAAAACTAGAAGATTTACCCAGCATATTTGTATCCTTAACTCAGTCTTTTTTGGGAAAACAAAATGAATGGCCTGCAGGCTGTCCATGAGAGTGGGAGGGGGCAGGCTCCGGTGGCTTGCAGCCTGTCCGTGGTGGGGGCAGGCTTGCGGAACCGTTCTCTGCCTGCAGCACTTCCCCTCCCTGTGGCCTACAGACTGTCTGCTAGGGAGGGGAAGCTCCAGGGGTCAACACCAGCCTCCAGCAACCCCCTCCCGCCCTGCAGCCTGCAGGGCTGAACCCTTTCCAGGGCCAGGACATGGTTCCCAGCCTCTCTTGCATACTGAATTTGGTGGCCCTAGCTCTTACGGTTTAGAAGGAGACTCGCATACAGACAGATGGATTCACAGACAGACAGATGCACAAATCTCTAATATATATATATATATATATATATATGTGAGAAATGAGTGAAAACTTTATTATAACACGGCACTTCATCCTAGATTGTCTCTTTATTTTGTTGAATAGTAGTAGAGAGGTAACCGTGTTAGTCTGATCTTGCTAAATCAAAAGGAAAAACTATGTAGCACTTTAAAAACTAACAAGATGGTTTAATAGGTGATGAGCTTTTGTGGGCCAAACCCACTTCCTCAGATCTGAGAAATGAGTGAAAACTTTATTATAACACGGCACTTCATCCTAGATTGTCTCTTTATTTTGTTGAATAGTAGTAGAGAGGTAACCGTGTTAGTCTGATCTTGCTAAATCAAAAGGAAAAACTATGTAGCACTTTAAAAACTAACAAGATGGTTTAATAGGTGATGAGCTTTTGTGGGCCAAACCCACTTCCTCAGATCATATACTGAAAGAGAAATGGCAGGACCATATATACCAAAGGAATACAATAAAAAAGTGAACACATTATTGAACTGACAAATCAGATTTAGAACAGAAGGTGGGGCAAGGGAGAAGGAAGGAGGGAATAGCTGTTTATAAGTCAATAAATGGCTAATCAAGGGTGATAAGTGAGGAAGCTGTCTTTATAATGTGTAAGGTAATTAGCATCTTTAAGGCCCATTCGTAAAGTGTCAAATTTAAGCATGAATTAATGTTCTGAAGTTTCTCTCTAGAATCTGGTGTCAAAGTCTCTTTGAAGTAAGATGCATGTAGTAAGGTCGTTATGACTATGTCCAGGTAGGTTGAAATGTAAACTGACAGGTTTTTCCTTGTGAAGATGTCTGATTTGTGGGCATTAATTCTTTGGCGAAGTGTCTGAGAAGTCTGTCCAATATACATAGCAGAAGGACACTATTGGCACATGATGGCATAAATTATATTTCTGGATGAACAGGAATATGTGTCCTTGATCGTATAACTAACATGGTTAGGTCCAGTGATGGTGTCACCTAACCATATCAGTTATACAATCAATACAGCCAAATATAAAGTCATTACATCGAGGAACAAACAGCAGAAGCTATGTTTATAGGATGGAGGAAGCAATGCCTTTGCAAAAGACCTGAGGATCATGAAGAATATTCAGTTGAACGTGAGCTGCCAGTCCAATGCTATGGCCAAAAGGGTTAATGTGGTATAAACAGGGGACTCATGCATAGAAGTAGGACAGGTTATAGGATCTCTGGTTTTGGCACTGGCATGATTACTGCTGGAATACTTTATTCAGTTCCAGTGTTCAGAATTGAAGAAGGATTTCAAAAAATTGGAGAGGGTTCAGAGAACAGCCAAGAGAATGATTCAGGTTTGACAATCTTCTACTATGTATTTGAGAGAGTTTATCGGTCTGTTGGTTCAAGAACTCCTCCTAACCTGTAAGATCTAGGACCACCAAAATCTACTGTTGATGACTTCCCCATTGACTCTGGCACTTCTGGCAGTTGTGAGGAGTAAGGGAAGTTGATGGGACAAATTCTCCCATTGAGCTCCCACAATAGGGACACTGCAGAAATCCTACTTAAGACATATTAACCCCAGCTACACTATTCTCAAAGCTGACATTGTGTCTCAGAAGTCGACTTTTCTTGTGTAGTGGAGACCTGGCCTAAGAAAGACCATATGCAGAAATATTTACTCCAGAAGTACAATTCAGAAGATGGTAATTTCTTACCAGTGCTAACTCCTCCAGTGAAAATCCAGGCTCCTGTTGTCATGGCAGCCTTGATCAGGCCTTTCCCAAATACTTGTTTCAATTTAGGTTGCAATTCAAAATTCTGGAGGCCCCCATGAACAGAGATTAAAAGCTTGGGAAGTTCCAGTTGCCAATCTTTCACCATGAGATGAAGAAGAGAATCTGGTTTCGTGTCATACGACACACGGATATACTGCAAAATAGTTGGTAGCAATGCCTTAATATTATGGTGCTATTTTATTTGTAATAGCTTCCATTGACTGAAAACGGAGGAATCAACAAATCTAACGTGCACAAGGAAGGATTTTAATGTTTTTCAATCAAAGTCTCACAATGTTTCTATACTGCTGGTAATGAGGAGAATTAGTAAGCCTGAGTTGCATTGCTCCATTGTAGAGGAGCCGAGAATGTGGCATTCATTACATGGGAAATTAATATTGGATAGTTTAGCAGAGAAAGATATAATGCATGATCTAATGCTGGAATTTGAAGCTAGATAAATTCAGACTGGAAATAAGGTGTACATTTTTAATACCTATATTATAATATATAGTATATTATATTTACTTAAAAAATCATGGCATTTCTTTTTAAACTACTGGCATTCTATTAAATGAGAGAAATTAATCAATGGAGCAAGATATGAAGGATTGTGGTGGTTTCTCCATCACTGGCAAATTTTAAAATTAAAACGGGATGTTTTCCTAAAAGACATGCTTTAGGAATTTTGATGTGGAGTTCTATGGCCCATGTTATATGAGAAGTCACACTACATAGTTGCAGTGGTTCCTTCCGGACTTGGAATCTTGATCTATGGGTAAAAGAGGCCACTATTTTAAAAGCCCCAGTTTGGCATGGAGAGGGGAAGTTCTTGTTAGGAATTTAAGCTGGGGGAAATTACCTCTCTAAAAAGATCACGGGGTTTTTTTTGGTTCATCCAATCCTGTTTTAACTACCAAACAAGAGTCCTTCTCCATACTGCCAGTAATGGGCTTATGCAACATTTTACCCTATTTCACTGTTTTGTTAGTTTTTCTACCAATGTAAGCATTGCTTTTTATATTATAAAGTCTCAGAGGGGTAGCCATGTTAATCTGTAAGCTGGAAAACAATAAGCAGTCCTGTGCCACAGGACTACTCATTTTTATATTAGATTTACTTCTAAAATCATGATCTATTTTTTTAAACTACTGACATTTTATTACATGTGGATAGGAGAACTACACGTGTTTATTTTCTGTAACTTTTTTTAGTTTTGCTATATGTTGTTCTCCTTCGAACCCCCAGAATATTTCACTTGGCAGTCGAAAAGAGAGAGGCCGCGGGATAAAAGTGCACAGGCACCAGCTTCATGAGTGGCTCCTTCTAGAACAGAGACCTGGCACAGAGGAATGCTTCAGTGGGAAAGCTTGGACTGCAGCTACGTGTATTATACCCACTTTTCTGAAAGACACAGGATTCTAGCCTCTAACATTGTCAAGCTTGGATGAGGCCCTCAGTGAGGTGGGGATCTAGATGACAGATGTTTGTACAGGATGTGTTCCATTCCTTACCATGGCCTTATTTGAATGTCCACCTCCCTGGAACTCAAGATTTCCATAGGCATCTGTTGGACATGTTTGGGTGTGCTTACTGACAGACCATTTTTCTGGCTGAGGTTCCAATTGCTTTGTTTCCTCTCCATTTTTGTTAGTCGCTGTACTTGCAGGAATTGGAATGTGTTGACTAATAAGCTGGCCACAGCAGCACCTGAAACCAAAATTAGATTTGGCACGGACGATGAACATATTGTCACCAATATCTGATTGTGTCCCCCTTAAAAAAATAACCAAATTTCACCAGAAACAAAAACATTAGATTTCAGACACAAATGAACCTACCTATTTTGTATCTAGCTTCTAGGACTTTCTGCAAGTCATTGAAATACCTTCTATGAGCCATACCTAGGCACACAATGAAACCCACTTTTTCAGAGGATAGGGCCTGACTGGCTGGTTCCTTTGCCAGGGGAAAACAGTAGCTGGGCAGAGTCCGTCTCCCTATTTCTGCTGCTACCCACAGTGTAGGTAATCTGTACAAGAGCATGAAAGGGCACCTTTAACCCCTTCCATCTCTGGGCAGCTACCCAAGCAGGACACAATTTAGCCAAGTGATAGTACAAGAGCAGTAACACTATCACACTACTACATGCAGCACAATGAGACAATGCTACTGCCTTGCTTCAGGAGCTAGGATTACCCCCTTCTCTTGGCTTCTTATCGGTCTCAGAATCCAATGAAAGTTGGGTTCTCATTTAATGAAAGCTCTAAGGATTTGCTACATTTTGCGTCTCTGGCCTCATCTCCATCTTCTTCCCCTAACACTCACTCATTCCATTCTTCCAGTCTGGGGCTCCTCTCTGCTCCTTTCCTTCTGTTCTAGGCAGAGCACGCAAATGCATGAGCTTGTCTACCCAATGGAGTAATGCACTTTAGGAGGATTTCTAAAGCACCTTACTGTGTCACACTGTGTAGATCCTGGTGGTCTCAAACAGTACTATATTAAAGCACACTATGGTACTTTTAGTGTACTCCATCCATTTCTACATGGACAAGATAATGAGCAGCATATTACTGTAGGATTTTTTTTAGAAATCTCTTCTCCCTCCAGCCCAGTGTACACTACTGCTCTGTGTGGACAAACCTGCTGTCTCACTTTTGCTCCCTTGCCTTCTTTCAGTCAAGGACAATGAATACAAATCAGCACTCAGCTACATCATAGGAATTCAGAGAATTCCACTGACTTCTGTGATAATTAGTGTTTTATCTACTAAAGTAAAAGCTTAACATTTGTCACCTGTTAACATCTTTGTTGTTGGCAATTATGTAGATGCATTCTCTTTTTGAAAAGGTCTTCTCAATCCAAGCCTTTTGACCCTGAAATAAGAAATAAGACATTGATATAGTTGCTGAGTGGCTGATACAGCAAAATGTTTACAGCTTAGTTTCTTTCTTGAAATATTTGGCCATCAAAGCTATGAGATATTTACAATATGCATTTCAGGAGGCTAGACTCCTTAAATTATAGCAGGGAAAATACGATCTCTTCTACCCAGGCATGGTGTAGTGGGAGCGGGGAAGAATGATGCTACTTACTAAAGATAAATTGGAATTGTGTGCACCATTTTCTCGGTGAACGTAAACCAGAACACATCATCAGAAGTTCACAATGTTTTTCAAACACAAACGGAACGTGAGTGAAACAATGCCATGGTTCGGTGCACTGCAATTAGAAAATCCATTGCAGCAACATAGTTCAGTTAGAGTTGAAAAAGAATGCAGTGCAGCTCAAAAAGAGCTATCCACCACAGCTTCCTAAACTCTGGGCTTGTGATCCTCTTTTTCAAAATCCACCACCTCAGCCATGAGCAGGCAAATCTTTGTTTTGATTGTGAAGAGGTACAAAATGTTAACCAGAGTCACAATTCAAGGATAGAGCTAAGCCTGTCTTCTGGATGAAATTCATGTTCTGTTCCTGGAGAGATGAGTTCACTTCACTAAAGTGCCCACAGAGGCACAAGCATGCTAGCAAAGAATAATTACTTAAATAACCAACCAGGAGTGACAGCTGGCCATTCAGGAAAGGCTGTAATTTTGCTCTCATTTCCAACAGTCAAGTTATCAATGGATCAAGTGAGGGTTACTTCCCTTTATTTTGATAGGAGTTGCTCGCAACCCATACCATCATAGAACATTGCAAAAGTCAACAATGCATTAGGCAGCACTTAATGGAATTCACTACAGCTTCATGAACCACATGGAACAAGCTTACAGGTATTTCTTAGCATCAGGAATTTGAAGCAGAGCAGCCCTCAGGCATTAGATACAGTGCTGTGCGTCAGAATCGCCTAGAGACGTATCCCTTTCCAGACATTGCTTTGCACTATCCACGTCAATTGCAATATGCCGCTCCCAAGGAACATGGAAATATTTGTTTTCTTAATTTTTTAAATAAACATTCTCCTTACATGTGTTTGGCACAGCTTTACAAGACAGCAAGTCTTTTGCAATAGTACCAATGGAAACATAGCTCAAAGGTTTGTGGCATCAAAGACAATGGATAGCGATGAAACTGAATGACTATGTAATCACTTTTTCTGCATTTTGCAAACAGTTTGCTGATTTTATGGCATAAGACCAGAGCTATATGAGGAAACATAGCTGTTTCACAGCCTCTGTAACTTTTGAAAACATATATATTATGAAGGAATGCCTAAGATTTTCTGTAAGTGACTTTTTGCAATTGCAGGTCTGCACAAATACCAGATAAGAAGTTTGAAGGGCCCTCCTACTGACGGTTCCAATCTGAACAAACAACTCTTTGTTGCGTTTTCCAGGCTTCAGGTTTTCTCTCTCCAAAAATCCACAATCCAATTCAATGTTCCCTTTTTAAACATCACAATAACTTTGAAAACATCGTGCTCTTGGCAGCAGCCAGCATTTTGGAGCCCATGACAACTGGTGGTTTTGAATCAACAGTGTAAAATCCATTCCTTTTATTTTTCTGAGCCATCACTGTAACATATTGCTGCTATCTTCATTTTGAAATGGTCAATCTTCCTGAAGCAACCATTGGCAAGCTGTGAGCACCACAGACTGAATGATAGATGAAACGTGGCTCTGTGAGGCTGACAAGCCTAGTGATTACAGCCAACACAACCAGTTTTCCAGTTCAGTAGCATGTTTTGCCATTGTTCATGTGTATGGGGACTGGTGCTTTATGATACAGATTCAACAATATTTTTCACTGGACTTGTCCTTTTTTGTATAAGATAAATCCGGGCACATGCACATAACCATTCTCTCAGAAGAGATAAATCATGTATCTCTAACAAAGCGATGGGCAATCTAGGCTAGTGAGTGAGTCACATGGGTAGTTCTCTGTCATTTCAGTGGGCCACAAGAATGTTGTAACCAAGATGATCTCCCGGGACTGGATAGTTTTCGCTAACTGTGCTTGTGAATTTGTGGAGTGTGCTGATTGGACAATAGCAGATGCAGAAGGGAGCGCACGGCTCTCACAGTCAATGCTGTGCACAATCAGTGTGCACCTCACTCAACATGCCTTTGCTTTATGTGCATTTCTCTTTAGTATTACCAGTAGGAAAAAACCTACGTGGACGGAAACCAGAAAAATCTGGCAGCCCTGGGCATGGGCAAAGGTCAACAAAATGTCTCAAGGGCCACATAACGAACCCGGATAGTTGCCTGCCACTGCTCTAGCAACCCGTTTCACATTCACCCGTGCTGTACTTGTCTACACCATTTGGGGCAACGCCAGGGGGTGTGTCTAGACTACATGGCTCCGTTGACGGAGCCATGTAGATGAGGCAGGACGACAAAGGGAAATGAAGCAGCGATTTAAATAATCCCTGCTTCATTTAAATCAAAATGGCCACCACGCTGTGCCGATCAGCTGTTTGTCGGCACAGTGCCACAGTCTAGACAGGGATCTGCCAACCCCAGAACCCTTTGTTGGCAGATCCTTTATGCCTTGTGAAACGAGGCTTACAGGATCTGCCGACAAAGGGTTCTGGGGTCGGCAGATCTAGACTGCGGTGCTGTGCCGACAAACAGCTGATCGGCACAGCGTGGAGGCCATTTTGATTTAAACGAAGCGGCGATTATTTAAATCGCTGCTTCATTTCCCTTTGTCGAGTAGACTAAGCTATATGGCTCTGTCGACGGAGCCATGTAGTTTAGATGTACCCATGAAGTCTAAGGTTCTTTGTTCCTCATTTATATCTAAAAGGAAATGTTTTGCAATTACGTTTCTAACGTGAGCGCTATGGTCTATCTGAATTCCCAGCTGTGCATTCATTATATTATAGCTATTTTTAATAAAGTCTTTTTTCTGCCACTGCACTAAAAAAAAGCATTGCACACCCACACTTCAAATGCACCACATACAAAATAATATAGGACGCACTGTTGGCTTATTTTTCAATGCTAATGAGAGGAAGGGAAAAGCAGGCATTACAGATCAACAGAATAAAAACTCACAAAGCGTGTTCGGTCAGTCTTTGAAGTTTCACTGCCCTTGTCTTTTTAATCTTCTTACGCAGGGTTTGATTATAATCCAGTACAAATACTTAAGCAGACACATCCACTGTCAGAAAATAGGCACCTTACCCACTTATTTGATGTGGATTCTGCAGAATTCTGAAAAGTTGCTACGATCACGCTGGATGGGAACGTATTTGGTTTCTTGAGAAAAATATAAGAATACATACTGTCCCTAGTGAGTTTGGAAAAGCTAAGTATTTTCAACAGCCTCTGAAGAGAAGAATTTTGAAAGGATTATGACAGATTAACTACAGTTTTCAGGCCAAGAGCCAGAGGGTGTATTTATGCTGAAAAACAAATAGGTATTACCAGCAAGATCATACCACTAAAACTCTCTTCAGGCTTTCTATTGATCTGTAAGAAACACAAGCGTGGGAGACCTAAACTCATTGAACATCCCAAAGTTCAAAACTGCTTAATATTACAAACACAAAATGCTCTAACCAAAACTGAATCTTGGAAAGATGCAATTCAGATACTCAGTGCCATATTTATTTGGCTTTGTAAAACCTGACAATCTCTTCAATTAAAAGTAAAACAAAACAAAATGAAATCTTTGCTAATTCTTGGCTCCCAGCCTCAAATCTACTTCTATGTCTAGAAAGAACATTAATTAATATATTGGGATTCATTCTCCCACCACAGGGTTTTGAGGAGTTCCCACTGCCATCAATAAGATGTCTTGAATCCTGCAGTGAGAATGGAGACCACTGTTGTTTAGTATGTAGACCATGCAGGTAATATGACCGAGGCCTTCTAAATTTGCTCAATAGTTAACCAGTTAATAATACACTTGAAGAATAATTAATGTTAGAAAAGCCAATTGTCCTTTTCTGCTATGCACGGAGAACCTGCTGCTCATACTCAGAGAAAGGTAGGTACAGGACCAGAGATGTATAGCACTAGTAAATTAGTAAACATTATTCATGTTTGATAGGTGTCCTGAGGAGGAAATCCTATGTCCTTCCAGCTGGCTGGTAAAAGGAAACAAACGTGATTTGGGCTGTTTTGGAAAGTCCGAGTAAACAATTACAAGGCTTAATCCTCAGTCCTTACTTGACCAAAGCTCTCATTGAAGTTTTCTGTAAAGACAGCAAACAACACTGGTACCAGAGTTTTGTATAAATTAGCTGAGCCAGCAGAGGAGGAGATGTAAGAATAAAGTAACCCATCTAGAAGGCTACATCTACACTACACGATTATTTGGGAATAAGCTATTCTGCAGCACATTGCAATCGGTCTTTGTGTTCTACAGTGTGGCTATATTTCCTGAAAGAATGACCTTCCGGCAGTTTTTTATTTTATGCTGACCCTCCCTATAATAAATTGCTTCAATACACAACTTAATAAACTAGGGGACTTCAGTTGGTGTAAACTGATATAGCTCTACTGACGACAATGAAGCAACGTCAATTTTCCACTGATGTTTACGGAGCTTTCCCCATTGGTATGAGTGAGGATCTGGCCCTGTACTTTTTACATATATATACTAGGGGGTTGTGCCCACAGCTTGCTACACTTGCCAACCCCTCTCTCGGGGACGGGGGTAGGTGTCTGGACGGGGGAGGATGCAGGAGCAGGCTGGGGGCAGGGTGTCTGACCAGAGGGGAGGGTTCAGGAGCAGGCTGGGGATACGGGGTCTTGGCGGAAGGGTGAGGGAGGAAGCTGGGGGTGCAGTTCTCAGTGGAGGGGGTGTGTGAGGGTGCAAGTAGGGTTGCCAGGTGTCCTGTGTTCACCCGGACAGTCCGGTATTTTCGCCTCCTGTCCGGTAAAAAAATTCAGAGAATATCGGACACCTAAAATGTTCAGGA